GAGATCGGTAGGTGATTGCGAATAACAAGGCGCGCGACAGCATCGCGGAGCTCCCACTGTGCTCGTTCAGGGGCAGGAGCAGTCTCAGCAGGAGTAGGGACAGTGCCGGTCACATAGGCTAGCAGTGACACTCCGTCTGCGACGTCAGTCATAAGGTAAAGGCGCAGGTCACTAAGCCAGGTGTCAAACTCGATGGGGCGGCCGTCAGGCTCAAAGGCGAGAACAGTAAGGGTCGCCATGGTTGTAGCGCAGGCAAAAGTAGCAGGCTCAGGCAGCAGGCTCAGGCAGCAGGCTCAGGTAGCAGGCTCAGGCAGCAGGCTCAGGCAGCAGGCTCAGGCAGCAGGTTCAGGCAGCAGGCTCAGGCAGCAGGCAAAGACTGCAGGTTCAGGCAGCAGGCTCAGGCAGCAGGCAACTGTAGCAGGTAAGGAAGCACGCAGTTCTGTGACAGGCCGCGCGTAAGGCAGGCAAGCGCACGACTCACGGGCGGCTAAGCGCTCAGGTCGAGGCAGTGGCGCACAGGCAGGGCAGGGCACGCGCTGCTGCGGGCTGCGCGCGGCTGCGGGCTGTGCGTGGCAGCTGGCTGTGCGCGGCGACGGGCTGCGCGCGGCTGCGGGCTGCGCGCGGCGACGGGCTGCGCGCGGCTGCGGGCTGCGCGCGGCTGCGGGCTGCGCGTGGCTACTGGCTGCACGCGGCGGCGGGTCGCGCGTGGCGGCGGGCTGCGCGCGGCGCCGAGCTGCGCGTGACAGCAGCGAGCACGCGGGCGGCTAAGGCAGCGGGGCGCGCTAAAAAAAAAATGCACGCACGCATGCAGCCGAGGCGCGCGCGGGCAGCAGGCAAGGTAGGCACGTAGGTATAGCTGTAGGGAAAGTAACTCATGAGTAGGTGGGCCCCAATCTTAGGTCCTTAGGACCATTGCTCTAGATGCCATGTTAGAATAGCTAGGCAAGGTGGTGTTCACTATCGAGAGAAATTTTACAAGTAGGAAAACCCTAAGGGGTTATCCCCTATAACATCTACCCCACTACAGCCTACCTATATGTATCACACATATATATCATTTGACAATATTTTCCGTAATTTTTGAACAGAGTTCCTCATAATGAGTGTGGATGTTGCAGAGGTGCCACTTCGGCGGATTTCGTTAAGTAGGGGTGACGGAGCTGTAAAACGCATTACACAGTTTGAGCGAGATTGTGAGAGGTTCCCCACCAAACGAGAACAGTATGTAGGAAAACGCATAAAATATTCACTTAAACTGGGAAACCATTTAACACATGACACAAATATGTCATAATCACTAGCTAGAACTTAGTAGCCATAGCTAAGGTTTAGGGTGCTTGCAAGAGTGTCGAGAAGTTTGAGCTAGGAGAAAGGGGTGTTCATTAATGAGCAAAGGTACAAGATATAGTGCAAGGGACAAGGGAATGAGGTGCACCACCAATGTAACACTACACTAACTACTGCTACAAGCAGTTTATATAAGAAATATATTTCAACACACCCCCTAAACTGCTTGCAGCATAAAGCTAATGCAGAGACACCCCCTGAAAGGGTACACTAAGCGCAGCAGAAGGAGATGACAAGTGAGGAGGAGGAGGAGAAGGGACTATGAGAGGAGAGGAGATTGGAGGCGGCGGCTGAAGCTGCTGGCACACGGGCGACTGGAGCAACTGGCACACAGGCTACCGGAGCAAGGGCTCCGGACTGCTGGAGTAACTGGCTCCGCGGCTAAGACGAGCGGCTGGAGCAACGGACCCACGGGCGACTGGCGCAACAGACTCGCTGGCTACCGGAGCAAGAGCATCCGGACTACTGGCGCTGCTGGCTCCACAATAGCTACCTCCGTTCAACCTCCCCCCATTGCCCCCAACCCCTTTCTCACATCCCCCCAGCATCTCTACCACCACTCTTTCGGCTCCCCACACACCCACCCCCCTCAGCGGCAGCTGCAGCAGTGGGAGACGGAGGAGGAGGAGGAGCAGGGGACGGCGCACACTCTTGCACCCCCATTACCCCCACCCCAAACCCTAATTCAGGAGAACGGGCAGCAGCAGGGGTGGGGCGCCGTCAGAAGCGCGGGGGACAGCGGGCAGTGCAGGGGAAGAGGAAACAGGGCACCCACGGGCCTGGCGCAGCCCGTACGAACCGCGCGCGGGCCTGGCGCTGCCCGTACGGGCCGCGCGCGGGCCTGGCGCAGCCCGTACGGGCCGCGCGCGGGCCTGGCGCAGCCCGTACGGGCCGCGCGCAGGCTGTACGGGCCGCGCGCGGGCCGTACGCAGGTCGCGCAGGCCACGACGGGCGATGGGGGGCGACGCGCGGGTCCCCGTCGCCCGTCGCAGCGCCTCCCGGGAGCGACGCGCGGAGTGACGGGGCAGAAAACCGCCGCGCGCCCCGAGCGCGCGGCGGGAAGAAAAAACGCCGCGCGCCCGGAGCGCTCGGCAGGCAGGAAACAGCAGCGGAAGCATGATGGGGCCCACAGGCCAGCAGCATAATTTGCTCTGAAACCATGTCATAATCACTAGCTAGAACTTAGTAGCCATAGCTAGGGTTTAGGGTGCTTGCAAGAGTGTCGAGAAGTTTGAGCTAGGAGAAAGGGGTGTTCATTAATGAGCAAAGGTACAAGATATAGTGCAAGGGACAAGGGAATGAGGTGCACCACCAATGTAACACTACACTAACTACTGCTACAAGCAGTTTATATAAGAAATATATTTCAACAAACTAGTCATAAATGTAACGTTTAGATTGATAAATGGAAACATGCTTTTAGTTAAAATCCAAAAACAGAATGCGTTTACAGCACACATGTCATATATTCACATATTACAACATTAATCTAGATAAATTAAATAAAAAAGATTTTCCATCACATTTATACAGTGATATATATATATGTATCTATATATACATGATATACATGCTAACTTTCAAATGATTTACAATAGATTTACATGTGTGATACTCCTCTCCTCTCACTCTCTCTCTTCCCATAAATAGCATCTCTCTACACCTCTCTGTCTCAAGCAATCTTGTATTGGTCTGGAGAAAGGTACAGGCATGGCAACCCTAGGTTTCCAACCTGCCATGCCTGTACCTTTTTCCAAACCAATACAAGATTGTTTGCGATGGAGAGGTATAGAGAGTTGATATTTATGGGAAGAGAGAGTGAGAGAAGTATCACACAGATAAATCTATTGTAGCTAAAATTTAAAAGTTAGCATCTATGTCATATAGATATATAGATACATATATATCACTATATAAATGTGATGGGAAATATTGTCAGAATGTTATGTTTGTCTAGCCTGCAGTGGGGTACTCTATAGTGAGTACAACCCAAACTAGGGTTTCCTATATGTATCCTACCTACTGCTAGTGCAAAACCCTCTTTGCCTGTTTCTCGTTTTCGCCTACTATCTTGACATGCTATCAGAGCAGGTCGACCCTCCTGGGTCGATCCTGTGGGTGGGCCCACCCGATGCTTCCGCTGCTGTTCTGCTTCTCGCGCGCCTCGGGCGCGCGACGTTTTCTGCCTGCCGCGTTTTAGGGTTTCTACGATTTTCTGCTCGCCGCGCGCTCCGAAAGCTCGGCGGTTTTCTGCCCGCTGTGCGCCCCGAGGCGCGCGGCGGTTTCCCACCGTCGAAGCGCCCCCCGTCGCCCGTCGAAGCGCTCCCCCCCCCCCCCCGTCGCCCGTCGAAGCGCCCCTGGGCCCCGCGCGGGCCGCGCGCGGCCCGTACGACCTGCGCCAGGCCCGCGCGCGGCCCGTACGGGCTGCGCCAGGCCCGCGCGCGGCCCGTACGGGCTGCGCCAGGCCCGCGCGCGGCCCGTACGGGCTGCGCCAGGCCCGCGCGCGGCCCAGGCGGCCCGCGCGCGGTTCGTTCGACCTGCGCACGCCATCCCCCGAGCTGCTGACCGCGCCCCACCCCTGCTGCTGCCCGCGCTCCTGTTTTAGGGTTTGGGGGTGGCGAGTGTGGGGGTGATAGGTGTGTGCGCCGTCCCCTGCTCCTCCTCCTCCTCCGGCTCCCACTGCTGCAGCTGCCGCTGAGGGGGGTGGGTGTGTTGGAGCCGTCGGAGTGGTACTAGGGGGGTGGCGTGTGAGCAGTGCTAGAGGTACAGCAGAGGGTGTGTGAAAGGGTTTTGGGACAGCTGGAGGAAGTTGAGTGGAGGCAATCGTCTTGTCGTCCGCAGCGCCTGAAGTCCAGAGAGCCACGACCCCCTGTGGCCTGAGTAGTCCGGGGCTCTACGCCCGGTAGCCACAGTGTGAGCACTCCTGGTAGTCCAGAGAGCCACGACCCCCTGTGGCCTGAGTAGTCCGGGGCTCTGCGCCCGGTAGCCACAGTGTGAGCACTCCTGGGAGCACAGCGAGCCAGCTGCGCCTGTCGCCGTGTAGTCCGGGTTTAGCCTGGTAGCGTCAGTGCTGCGCACTCCTGGTGCCCGTGTGTCTGCAGCTTCAGCCGTCGCCTCCCATCTTCTCACCCCCACAGTTTTTCCTCCTCTTCACTTGCCCTCTGTGATAGCCTCTAGCTTTGCGTATCATTGTGAACTATTGCTATGCCTGCTTGTTGTGCTGATTATACCCCACTTTGACTATGGGGGTGTGTCAGAATGTTATGTTTGTCTAGCCTGCAGTGGGGTACTCTATAGTGAGTACAACCCAAACTAGGGTTTCCTATATGTATCCTACCTACTGCTAGTGCAAAACCCTCTTTGCCTGTTTCTCGTTTTCGCCTACTATCTTGACAAATATTTCTTTATTTATTAGATTGATGTTGTAATATGTGAATATACTTTCTTATAAAATGACATGTGTGTTGTAAACGCATTCTGTTTTTTGATTTCAACTAAAAGCATGTTTCCATTTATCAATCTAAACGTTACATTTATGACTAGTTGTGTCATGTGCTAAATGGTTTTCCAGTTTAAGTGAATATCTTATGCGTTTTCCTACATACTGTTCTCGATTGGTGGGGAACCTCTCACAATCTCGCTCAAACTGTGTAATGCGTTTTACAGCTCCGTCATCCCTACTTAACGAAATCCGTCGGGGCCAGTTTGATAGGTGTGACCTGGCGCCTAGGCCAGGCCCGAACTGCCCTGGCAGGTCTGTGCGCTGCTTCGGGCGTACATTGTAGGGGCGCGACTCACCCGGGCCTAAATTGGCCACTTCTCTGCTGTTTTCCAGCCCGAGTATGATCTTTGCCCTTCTTGCTTTTAGGCATTGCTGTTCTCGTGAATGCGTACTGGGAGGTGTTCACCCTACCTCACTGAACCGTTTTCGAAGTCGCTGAGTCTCGCTGATCCTCGGAAAATATCCATCCAGCGCCGCTTTTCTCTCCCCCAGCGCCTCATTCTTCCACCCACGTGCATTCTTCCACTCACGCTCGCCCACGTGGTCCCACGTGATCTGTTCAGCCGGCACACGAATTCTCTTCCGCTAAACCACGCACTTCATCCGCCTCCGCCGTTTACCACCATGGCGGCGCCCATTGCGAGGCTTGGACGGCGCGTCGTTTCGCGCGCAGCGCCGTGGCTGGCGGAGACTTCCCCGCTTGGCGGCGCCAGCTCCGTCGCGCGACGGTTTTCGAGCGTCGCAGGCGGCTCTGCGACGTCGGAGAGCCATGCGACGTCGAGCGAGCTGATTACTATGGAGGAGAAGAGCAGCGCACACAAGTGAGTGCGGCGCGCAAGTGAGTGGCGCGCGCAAGTAGGTGGCGCATGATCAAGGGAAATCTTTGGGAGGCGTACCGGGGTGACAGGGCGTTTGGAAGTGCGCCCGGGTGGCGCAATATGGCTTCAGCCCGCTCACCGCCACACTCGTCCTCGCCGCGCCGCTCCTTGAATCCGCGCGTTTCCTCATCCGCTTGCCCGCTTGCCCACGTCCCCCCTCCCCCAGCTACCACCCGCTGCCTGTGGTGTTCGCGGAGGCGCACGGCGCGCGCATCACGGACCCCGAGGGGCGCGAGTACCTGGACTTCCTCTCCGCCTACTCCGCCGTCAACCAGGTGCGCGCGCAGGGGGACGCGCGGAGGAGGGGGGTGAGAGGGGTCGAGATGAGGGGTGAGAGGAGGGGAGAGGCGAGGGGAGAGACGAGGGGAGAGCTGGGTAACCGCCATGGGCAGGGCGGGAATCGCTTAAGTGGATGGGCGTCAGAACGGCACGAGGTAGGCGCGGGGGAGTGCACTTCTCAGACTTTATTCACCATCCTATCTCATCCCTCCCCTCCCCCGCCCCCTCCGCCTACGCACCCCCCTTTCTCCTTCTCCCCCCCTCTCTTTCTTATGCAGGGCCATGGCAACGCGCGCATCCTGGCGGCGCTGCAGCAGCAGGCGGAGCGGTGCACGCTGTCGTCGCGCGCCTTCCACAACGACCGCTTCCCGCTGTTGGCGCGGCGCATCACGGCGCTGATGGGGTACGAGCGGGTGCTGCCCATGAACACGGGCGCCGAGGCCGTGGAGACCGCGCTCAAGGTGGCGCGCAAGTGGGCGTACGAGAAGAAGGGCGTACCTGCTAATGAGGTGAAGGGGGGGGAGGGAAGGGAGGGGGCAGAGGCAAAGGGAGTGGGGGTGTGAATGGAGAGGAGTGGGGAGGGTGCTGTTTGGGGAGTAGAGGGGATGGGAGGGCCGGGAAGAATGGTTGAGGGGCGTTTCTCCATGCCCTGCCCTGCCATGCCATGTTGCCCCTCCGCTGCCCCCTTCCGCCCTTCTTTTCCCCGCCTCCGCTCAGGCGCTGGTGATATCATGCTGTGGGTGTTTCCACGGGCGCACCATGGCGGCCATCAGCATGTCGTGTGACAACGACGCCACGCGTGGCTTCGGCCCGCTGCTGCCCGGCAACCTCAAGGTGGACTTCGGGGACGTCGACGGGCTGCAGCGCCTGCTGGAGGGTGAGTTGTGGGAGCGGGGGCTGTGGTAGGCAATGTGCGGTGAGGGGGCAGGGAAGTGTGTGGGGAAGAGGGACTAGAGGTTGAAGCATGGCACATGCCATCACGTCACAACGCTCTCCCTTTCCCCCTCCCCTTCCCTGACCTCTTTTTGGCCACCACCACCCTGCTTGCATCTCCCCCAGAGCACGGCCCGCGAGTGGCGGCGTTCATAGTGGAGCCGATTCAGGGCGAGGCGGGCGTGGTGGTGCCGCCAGAGGGGTACCTGCGCGCCGTGCGGCAGCTGTGCAGCGAGCACCGCGTGCTGCTGCTGGCCGATGAGATCCAGACAGGCCTCGCCCGCACGGGGAAGATGCTCGCCTGCGACCATGAGGGCGTGCGCCCTGACGTGCTCGTCAGTGCTCTCTGCCCTCATGCCCTCATGCTCTCGTGCTCTCGTGCCCTCATGCTCTCGTGCTCTCGTGCTCTCGTGCTCTTCTCCGCCCTCATGCTCTCATGCTCTAATATGCTCTAATATGCTCTAATATGCTCTAATATGCTCTAATATGCTCTAATATGCTCTATACCGCCCTGTTGTGCCCTGCTCTGCTCTGCTCTGCCCTGCTCACCTCTGTTCTGCTCTGCTCTATACTGCTCTCCTTTATATTGCTCTGCTCCACTCTGCTTCGCACCACTCTCAGAAGTCTCTTCTTACTGTCGCCAGTCAGCACGACCACTGCCATTTTCCTGCTGCCACACCGCCTCCATTTCTCCAAAATGTCCCTGCATCACGCCCCCCTCCTCTCTCCCTCCGCTCACTGCATTACTACCTAGCTCCCACCACCCTCCTGCCATCCTTCTCTATCTCTTCCCCCCTCTCCATGTTCCGCTCTCCCCTTCCTCTTCCCCCCATCGCTTCCACCCCCCCACTCCCCCCCATCAGATCCTGGGCAAGGCGTTGGGAGGGGGAGTGGTGCCGGTGAGCGCAGTGCTGGCAGATGATGACGTCATGGGGTGCATCCGACCGGGCGAGCACGGCAGGTGGGGCGGGGGAGAGGGAGGAGGGGGGGGATAGGAGGAAATGGGGAGTGCGGGGAGCATGTGTGATGGCCGGTGTTGTGTGTACTCTTTTATTTCCTGAGGCACCTCAAAGCAGTGAGCAGGGAATGGGGAATGGTGTTGTGGAAGGTGCAATGTGTTCAACCTGCTGTCCTGCTCGCACTATCTCTCCAGTGCCCATGCCTGGCCTTCTCACGTCTCCTTACCCTCCCCCTCCCCTGTCTGCGCGCCTCCCCCTCCCCCTCTGGGCAGCACGTTTGGAGGCAACCCGTTAGCGTCATCAGTGGCGCTGGCGGCTCTGGCGGAGATTGAAGAGGGCGGGCTGGCTGACAGGTGCGGGGAAAGGGAGGAGAAGAGGAGGGGTGCGGAGAGGGGGTGCAGAGAGCGGGGGTGCAGAGAGCGGGGGTGCAGAGAGCGGGGGTGCAGAGAGCGGGGGTGCAGAGAGCGGGGGTGCAGAGAGCGGGGGTGCAGGTGAAGAGGAGGGAAGGTGGGGGGATAGGGGTAGGAGTGCGTGGCTGTTCCATGCAGGGCCATGGGGTGGGGTGGGAGGGAGGCGCTGTGAGAGTGAAGAGGGGGGAAGAGTGCAGGGCAAGGCAACTTGGTCTTGAACGTTGCTGCTGCTCATACATTCCACCTCTGCCCGTCTCTGCCAATTCTCACGGCCTTATCATCCCATTCCCCGACCCCCACCTCTCATCCCCCTCGCCTTCCCCTCGCCTCCCCCCAGGGCGCAGCGGCTGGGGGAGCAGCTGCAGGCGCAGCTGAAGGCAGTGCAGGCGCGGTACCCCCAGCTGATCCAGGAGGTGCGGGGGCGCGGGCTGCTGGTGGCGGTGCAGGTGGCGGGGGAGGGGCTGCCGGGGGGCGTGACGGCGCTGGACGTGTGTGTGGCCATGAAGGAGAGGGGCGTGCTGGCCAAGCCCACCCACAACACCATCATCCGCCTCGCCCCCCCCTCACCATCTCGTGCGTGCCCCATCCGTCCCCCTCATGCCCTCGCGCATTTATGCCCTCGTTCCCTCACTGATGCATTCGCTCATGCCCTCGTTCCCTCACTCTGTCATCCTTCTCCCCACCTGCTTGACGCCCTGCCCTGTTAATTTTTTTGCAGCCCAGCACTCTCTACTCTTTCCTCACCACACCCCGAATATCCAATCCCCCTACACACCTTACCCTCCCCACTGGGTGCATGGCAGGGAGGAGGAGCTGGGGCGGGCAGCAGCAGCACTGGAGGCGGTGTTGGGGGAGGACATGCCGCGCCTCGTGGCACAGGCTGGTGCTGCTGGTGCCGACAACAAGACCCACTCCAAGCAGCCCTGCGACCGCTGCGGCCGCGTGCGCTGAACAGGCCGTGTCATGGACTCACGTGGTGCCAAGAACTGGTCTCGGTAACTTAGAGAAGCAGTGTTCCCACCAATTTTGACTGCTCCTATGTATAACCAGCAAGAGAACACTAGCAGTGAATCTGAGCACATAACGAGGGTATGCATTGTTAGATGGTCTACCGGCATGACTGCTGGCTCTTCATTTCCCCAAAGCAGAAGCCCCCTTTCCCCCCCAATCCCTATGCTACCATATCCTCAGCAACAATGGCAACTGCATAACAGCGTGCTCAATATTCCAGTCTCTGGCACCAAAACCTTAGCAATGTGACATGATCGTACACACCAAACTGTAGCAGAATATTGAGGAACTCAAGAGAGAGCTCTGGCATGGATCAACAGTGGATATATTGAGCAGGACCGAGCAGTGGATTGTCTCCTGAAGTGTGTGTCTGCTCCTCCTGCTGTGGAGCAGCAGTGGACATACTGAGCAGGACCGAGCAGTGGAGTGTATGTCTGCTCCTCCTGCTGCAGCACATCACTGAGCAGTGCGACGTGCCAGAGGCTGTCGCCTCTCCGCTCCCACTGCCACATCACCAACCTTGCCCGCCTTCTCCCCATTCTCATTCTCAATCCCAACTGCCCTCTGCGCCCCTGCCCGTCCTCTCACCATGCTTGTGCCCTTGGTGCAATCGCCACTCTCCACCTCACTCCCACTCCCTTGCCCACTCTCACCCCAACTTTCACTCTCACTCTCATTCTCGCTCTCACTCCCAGTCTCACCCTCACCCTCAACCCCCGCCTCACTCCCACTCTCACCCTCACCGTCGCTCTCGCTCTCACTCTCACTGCCATCATCAAGCATGAAGCGCCTCTGCCTGGCGCCGGCACGCCTGGCGGGCATGGCAGCAGGCAAGGGCGAGGGCGACGGCTGGACCAGGTCGTCACTCAGCGCCGATGCAAAGGACGTGGCGTCACTGCCCACTGACGCCGCAGGGGAGCCCGCCGCCCCCCGTGCTGCAGGAGAGGCGTCATCCCTCGGTGCTGTGCGGTCGACACTGGGACTGTGAGCATGGAGCCCTCCTGCCATGCCCACACTCTCATCCTCCAACACCTCTTCCACCTCCTCCCCCGAGATGCTCTCTGCCTCCTCCTTGGGCTGCACCCGCTTGCTCTGTGTGCCTGCCATCCCTCCGGGTTGCACATCCACCACGTCTTGAGAGTCAGAGTCGGTGGAGATATAGATGGGCGCGTCCCTGCCACCACCACCACTGCTGCTGCAGCTGCTCCTGCGCCTCCTCACAGCAGCTATCACGGACGCCACTCGCTGTGGCCCACTGGTCTGCTCCTTTGCCCACGCGCTCCTCTGCTGCCTGCCCACTGACGCCCTGTACTCCTCCTCGCTTCCGCTTTCACTTCCACTCCCATACTCCTCACTCTCACTGCTCTCGCTCTCCTCCTCACTCCCACCGCTGTGAGCCCCAGCCGGCACATCTGCTGCCGTGCTCTGTCCCTCTCTACCCACCTGCTCCACGCCCTCACCTGCATTAACCCCCTCACTCCCCCCAACAGCTGCCTCGCCAACCGCAGGTCTGCCGGCGCTGCTGTGACCTCCCAGCTGCTCCTTGAGGCGGCTGTTGGCCACTGCCTTACACTGCCTCGAGGGGCGCGAAGGGCGCTGCAGCGGTGTGGCGGGGTCGGGGCTGCAGAAAGGGGAGGTGCGACGGGCTGGCGCTGTGCAGGCACGGGCGGGAGGCATGGGGGAGATGAAGAAAACAAACAAGCAATGAGAGAGGCGTGTTGGCTTGGCTGTGCCCTTGCAGCAGGTGGTGCATGGCGCAACAACCCACAGGCTTGTGCAAGTGCAAGCAGCGCGTGTGGAAGCACTGGCAACATACCTGGGGGCTTGCCTCGTTGCCTCCTGCCTGGCGGAGAGCCTCCCTCCATGGCAGTTGCACCATTGCCCGCTGCCTCTGACGCACTTGCTGAGTCGCCATCCACTGCAAGCAGGGGACACAGGATAGCACCGCACAACATGTACGTGTGAATCACACAGTGCTACCACACCTGCCGCACCCGCATCACCAACAGCCAACACAAGAAAATTACGTATCATTGCATTCCCCATGCCTAAATTGCCAACCCATACCTCCCCAATCTCCCCCCCACACGCAGCTCATCCTCCCCCTTCCCCCGCTCCCCCCTCACCGCGCTGCAGCAGCTGCTCCAGGCGCTCCAGAGGCAGCTCTTCATCCGGAGTGGCGTCCAGCGCCCTCAGCCGCGCTGCCATCCCCTCCACCTGCCGCTGCGCTGCACGCTGCCCCTGCACTGCCTCCGCCACCCTGCCACACGACCAGACGGGCGGGGAAGGGAGAAGGGGAGACGACAGGGTCAGAGTGGTGAGCGTGTTAATGGTGGTGGTGGCTGATGGGCGGGAGCAAGACATTGGATGGGTGCAGAGCTGCAGAAATGGGACGAGAAGTTTTTTTTTTTGTTGTTTGGAAACGGCAAGAGCATTGAAGGGACTCGCAGGTGATGAGAAGGTGCATACATGGGGAGCAGCGAGCGCAGGCATTTGACGTCGTCCTGCTGCGAGGCTCTGAGCGGCACCTCCACCAGCAGCTGCACCAGATGCGCGCTGTACGCCCTCCCACTCGCGCTGCCTGCTGTGGCCAGTGGGGAGGATAGCACCTGGGGCGGAAAGGGGAAATAACACAACGTTTCAGGTGTTGACGCGAGGAGCACAGCACGTTTGTGGCAGAGAACAACAGCACAGTGTGCGGAAGTGCCGGTAAAAAAAAGAGAGACAAGAGCTGAATGGCCGTTGGTGGAGGTGCACATAAGGGCAGACTGGGCACCCACCTCAGCAGCAAGATCTAGGGCCAAAGACTCCAAGCCCACTGCTGGCTGCTGTATGCTGCTGCTCTCAGCCGCACCACTCCTCTCGCCCTCACCATCACCACCTGCTGCTCTTCCCTCCCCCTCCTCCTCTCCCTCCTCCGCCTTCTCTCCTTCCCCCTCCCCCTCGCCCTCGCCGCTCCGCTTGGGCGGCACGACCCCGTGGGCGCCATGAGCGAGCATGAGGGAGAGCAGAAGCTGTGAGGCACGCACTGCAGGCTGCCTCGCTGCTGCTGCCGCCTTGCGCGGCCACAGCTGCCGCAGCACGGGCAGCAGCAGACGCGACGCTGCCACCTGCACCAAGATGACAGGGAGGAATTCGGGGGAGGGAGCGAACGGGGAAGAGCGAGTGAGGGAGAAGTGAGGTGCCACAGCGACAGACTGTCAAAGGAAGTGAGTCTACCAGAAAAAGCAGTAGTGAGGGGTGGGTGGCGTACCTTGCAGGCAGGCAGCACGGCCGCGCGGTTGAACAGCTCCGCTAGCATTTGACGCGTCCTGTGACGCACGAGCGAGGGAGTAGCGGGAGATGATGAGTCAAAGGCAGCTACGGAGAAAACATAGCATAGAGCAGATTGAGCAAAACACAAGCTGGAGATGATGTGGCAGTTCAGTGGTTTCCCCACCTGGGCAACTCATCTTCAGCGGCGCCCGGGCACAGGTACACCTGCACCAGCACCTGCAGCACTCGCTCCACCCTGCCCTCCGCCCCCCGCTCCGCGCCCTTCCCCGCGCCCCTGCTCGCGTCCGCCAGCAGCAACTTGCTCAGCCCCTCGCAAACCACGCCCACCACGCCCTCCGCTTCCCCCTCGTCCTCCCCCTCCGCGTGTCGCCCTGCGCGCTGCACGTCGTCCCTCACCGCCTCAATGTCCACCTGCCCGCCCTCCAGCGGTACCAGCCCCAGCAACACGTCCACGCTCCCCTCCGCCACCTCCGCCACCCTACCTCCACGCTCTCCTCCTGCGCGCTGCGCCTCTTCCCCCGCACTGCACCCGCTCACCGCACTCCCCTCGCCCTCGTCGCTAAGGGCGGGCGCAGCGATGTCGGGCAGCAGCGCGGCGGGGCGGTGCCAGAGCAGCAGGTCCGCAAGGGCGCGCACGGCCGCCATCTGCACGCCGGGGTGTGCGGAGTCGCGCGCGGCGGCGTGCAGCAGAGGCAGGTGGGCGCGCGCGGACGGCGCGTGCAGCATGGCGAAGGCGTGCAGCGCGCCGACGGCCTCCGCGCGCACCAACGGCGACGGGTGCGACGCCTGCCGACACAATTGGGGAACGGGAGGCGGTGGTGAGAGAGGTGGGATAATGCTTGAGCAATGGGGTCACTGAGAAAGATTGCAGGCACGGCGCAGTGGAGCAAATGCGCACAAACCGGCCTGTTGAGAGCAAGCCGGGTGAGGCAGTGAGGGCAGCGAGCGCGCGCGCGTACCGCGGGGACGAGGATGCAGTTGAGCGCCTCCTGCGGCTCCACGCGCAGGTTCCTCCACGCCCTGAACGCGCCGCCGCCTGCCGACTTGCAGCACAGGCGCAGCACCATGCGCGTCGCCGCCACGCATCGCAGCCAGATTCCCTCACTCACACCATTCACACCCGCCACTCCCGCCATCAACGGCTTGCTGACGTCAGCCAGAGCGTCCACGAGAGCGGCGAGCACGTCAGCATCCGAGGCGTGCACGCGCTGCGCCAGCCCCAGCAGAGCCTCGCCCCACCTGCCGTCCGCCTCGCCCTCCTCCCACTCGTCCTCCGCCTCCGCGCTCACCTCCCCCGTCCCTTCGGGCACCAACTGCGCGCCGACGAGGTGGCGGTGCACGAGCGCGGCGGCGTGCGCGCGGATGGTGGCGTCGGTGAAGTCGAGCACCGCCGCCAGTTGCATCAGCTGCCGCGCGGCGAACCGACCCTCCGAACCTGCGAGGGCAATAAGCAAGTATTAGAATGGCGCTTGTATAAAACGTGAATCACACGGCGGTACGAACGGGCCGAGGCCGTTCTCATACTTGTCATTGTTGTAACTAGGCTGTACGGTTCAGCCCGTACCTGCTTGCGTGTGCGTCTCCAGCAGCGTCAGGTAGTCCTGTGCCGTGGTTGGCAGGAGCGACTCCAGCTGCGCGTTCAAATCGCTCGCCGCCTCCGCCGCCACCACCGCTGCTGCGCCAGCCGATACCGCCGCATTTGATCCGTTCTCCTGCAGCAATATGACGACACGCAACGTCAGACCCACATCGCCTTCAAGGCGAGCGACAGCAAGCGCGCAATCAGCAAGTGGGAAGCAAGCAAGCACGGAAGCATCAAGCGCGGCAGTGCCAAGCGCGGGAGCGGACTGACATTGGCCTGCGCGGCGAGGTGCAGGCACAGCATGCGCCAGAAGAGCGCCTCCTCCGCCGTAAGCAGCGCCGCTGCTGCTGCGGCCTCCGACCCCTCTGCACGAACCACGAAAGGAGGAGAGACGTGAGATTTGCCGCTGGAGTGGGATGATATTTCATGGAAATCACAAGCTTGTTGAAACCACGTGCAATGCGACCCAGCCTGGGTCGGAGTATGTGTGTTGGAATCTGACGTTTCCCCGAGGGACTCGCCTTTTCCAGGAGTGGACATCTGCTTGACAGCGCCACGCAGCCCCCCCTCAGGCACGACCAGCTCCATGTCGCCGCACCCCGCGCTGTGCGCCTGCAGGACCTCCCGGACCGCCGCTTCCGCCACCACCTCGTGGCTCTCCACGTCCACGTGTCGCAGCAGTCGCACCAGATCGCCCTCGCAGTCGCGCGACAGCCACGCGCGACACAGCAGCTCCACGCACGCCGACCGCACCGTCGACGACCGGTCGCCCAGGCCCTGTGACAGCAGCTGCACTCGCTGCCGGATGCTGCGACGGACAGACACACGCCACGTGACAGAGCAACAACAAATCAGCTCCATGACAACCGATCGGCGGTAATTTTGCGGAATAAAAGACAGCTGCGCACCTGAAGCTCTCGATGGGGAAGAATCTCTCGGCGAAGGACTTGTACGCGGCGGCTCTGACCCGCTCGCTGACGTCCGCCGTGCGCTCAAGAATGTCGGGAATAGTGCTCGTGGACTCCGGCAGCGACCACACCATCGCCTCGCGCACCTCCTGCACCACGCGCAACCCAATGTGTTTCCATTTAGCACCACGCTAATAGCCGTCGCCATGACATCTCATACAGATTCGCTGTTTCAAAGGACAATGACAAATGGGTGTCCAGCTAGTGGAGCATACGGAAGCAACGAAGCTTACGGAGCTCGACTCGGTTTTCATCTTTTCTCGGAATAACCCGATCGTTGTGTCCACATCGACTCCGCCGTCCTCCTCGAACGTCACCATGCGCTTGAGCGCCCTGGCGGCCCACGCGCGGATGGCGGCGATGCGATCGTCCATTCGCGCGTGCAGGAACTCGCGGATGATCACGATGGCGTCGGCTGACAGGCTGAAGCTGGCAGGCAACGAATTCAGCACCTGCGAGGGATGCAAACACTCAAAAATTAAATTTGAGACGGTGGGAACAAGACCTGGAACGCTTAGAGTAAGACATGATACACTCGAAGTGGGGCCTGCAACGCTTAACTTATGCCAGCGCGTATCATGGAGCGGAACGAGATCGAGTGGCATACCTCCGAGAGCACTCTGGTGACGTTGACCCTGACGGCCTTGCTGCGCGCCTCGCTGTACTGCGAAAAGAGGCACAGCAGCTCCTCCATCATCTCCCGCGCGTCCTCGCTGCCCTCCGCGACCAGCACGCCCAGGAACGTCTTGAAGAATCGCAGCACCTTGTCGCCAGGGCTGCCGGCCTTCGTGCTGAGGAGAGCGGGTCGAATGACATCAAGAAAAATCGGCGAAAAATCGTCTCGGTGTAAGCGAACACATTGGAGGAGAAGCAAGCTGTTTCTATGGTGAGACGCGATTGATTCCTGACACTCGTTCAAGACTCTCGGTGTAAGCGACGCTGGTGGGTCTACAGCTCTCCTACTTCCTCCCTGCATGCTTGCTGTTGCTCTCGTCATCGTGCTAACTGGAGTATACTAATTGCGCGCTTCGAAGTAGACCTCGATAACAAACAATCAGCTTATTCTTGGTTCATGGTACTCTAGGACTTGAAGGGGAGAAAGCTTGGATGAATAGAGAGTTGAGAATCTGGAATCTGGAAAGAAATGCAGGCAGGAACAGGCGACTTTCAGGTGACTGATCAGCACTCTGCGATGATGACTTGAGCAGAGAAGGGAAGCGGGGGACCTTGGGATTGGCTGACCCGATGCGCCCTGACACTTTCAAACTTCGAAGTTGTGTTCTGCCTCGGGAATTTCCCGCCAGAACTGACAATGCGGGGCTACAGTAATACCAGCAACATCGCATTTGACAATATGAACCAGCTCTCAGCAATATAGCAGAAACCATATACCGGTAATGTTGGAGGAACAACCTATGAATGCTTATAGTTGCTGGCAAAAACAATGATTTACCAATATTCCTAGGTGCTAAATAAATAGCTCTAATCACTAGCCTGAATCACAAAATCTACGATCAACTAACAGATAAATAGGTCAATTCAAGAGTAGCTTCAGATTATGCAGTTGGGCACCTCATTAGACAAGCTGTCATGAGGCTGTCTCGTCCAGTGCCTGCATGTGCGTAAGGGGTAAGATTTTTTGCAGCCAGTTATGGCACTTCGGCATCAGGGTCAATTAATGCAGTTTAGTCTGCATCCAGTTTATGCAGCCGCGCCAACGTATGTCATTTCCTGAAAGATGCGGAGGCGGCGGGGCCTCTTGACCTCCACATGGGAGCTGCCTGCAGTGGGGCTGGTCAGAGCGGTGGCAGTAGCGCTAACCCCTACCACAGCAGCCAAGCCAGTATCAGTATTGTCAGCAAACAGTGCACGCCGCTCGCTGCCCTGCTGCCCGTCAGCAGACCCAGCGGAGGCGAGCAGTTTCTTGGCGCTATCAGTGCCCTTGAGTTCCTCCAGCAGCAGCTTGTCGGGGCTGCCTGTGAACCCCAGCATCTCCCATAGCGCCCTCGGCACCACCGGCCCGCCCTCCTGTGCTGCACTCGCGTCCCCGCCCTCCGCCTCACCCCCTCTCTCTCCTCCCTTGGGAGCAGCAGCCTTCACTGGGGTCGGCATTCTGTTTCTCTTCATTCCCGATCCCCCCACCTCTGCCACAGATTGCTGCTGCTGCACTTGCTGCTGATCCTTCGCCTTCTCCCCCTCACCCATGCTTCCCCCCTCTCCGGGCACTCCCCATGCAGGTCCCCATGCGCCCTTCCCCTGCGCCACAGCCCCCCATGCGCCCATGAACTGCGCGGGCGGCTCCAGGTTAGTGCGCTCGCCCATCACCGTCGTCATGCCCATGCCGCCGCCGCCCATGTCCGCGCCCATCTGCATCCCCATGTTGCTTCCGCCCATCAGCCCGCCCGCCACCATCTGCGCCTTCGCCGCCATTGGCGCGGGGTTCTCGCACCCAAACACCAGTGGCCTCCGCGCGCCAGGCCCGCCCGCGCCAATGGGCGCGCCCCCAGCCATGTACTGCGGAACGTTCTCGGAACCCCTGAAAAGCGCGCGGTGTCCGGGCGCGGTGAATCCGCCGCCCTTGCGCAGTGCGGCAGCGAGGTGCGCCGAAGTGGGCGGCTTCTGCGATGCCCAGACCCCCGCAGCAACGGAGATAGCCGCAGCAGACGGCTGGTAACTGTCGTTGGGCATTTCGCAGAGCACGTCGTCGTCACTCTCGAACGCTGACATCATCATGCCGTCATCCCACGACGCGGCGCCGAAGCTAGAGGTGCACGAGAGCGAGCCGCTCGACATGGGCCCCAGCGGCGGCACCAGCGACGGCGACGCCGCCGCCAGCGCGAAACCCGCCGTGGGAATCTGCAGCGGGGGGAGCGAGCGCGACGCGGTGAGCGTGCGCCGACCGTCGCCAGCGGGCGGCGGGGGCGGCGCGCCGTGCATAAAGGGCGGGGCGGAACCGTGGCCGGGGGGAGGAATCGGGCCGAACGAACCCGGCATGAACTCGGGCGCGGTGGGCTTGAGGCACGACAGCCCTCCGCGCGCATCCGCTCCGCCAAAGCTCATGGAGCGCGCGAGCGGGTTGCCGCACCCCGCGCCCATGCTCACCGTCCGCGCCATTGCGCCGGTCGCTGGCGGCCTGCGCATGCACTGCATTGGCGCCTGCAGCTGTCGCTGCTGCTGCTGCTGCGGCGGCGGAGCTTCCGGCGGACCCCGCGACTGCATGCCCGCCATACCCGAAATACCGCCTGCGGCGCCTTGCGGAGCTGCCGGCGCTCCTTCCGCCGTTGCGTTCCCTCCAGCGGCGCTGTTGTCGGCCATGAGAGAGTCCCACATGTCGGGCGCGCCAAGGAACTCGCACAGGTACGACGAGTGCCGCTGGTACGAGCTGCGCGCCATGCCCATGCCACCCATGCCGCGACCAGCGCCAGGGGGGCCGTGGAATGCGGAGACGGAAGCGGCGGGTTTGACTTGCGGGTGCTTGTCAGACGAAACTCCGTCGCTGCTGGGCGCCGCGGAGGACGGCGCAGCGCAGGCGGAGGACGTGGAGGCGGGTTTACCGCCGGCGTCCGCTGTCTGCCCGTCAGTGCTAGCTTCCTCCCCGCCGCTGGTGCTCGCGCTCGCAGCTGCGCCGTCCTTGGTCGCTTCGGCCGCCGCTGATGCCTCGAGCTCCAACAGCATGCTCTGCGCGCGCTCGTACGACTGCCATCAACGAGAGAACGGGACGACAAAGGGTTGGAAACAAGCGGGTTGAGTCAGGACACAGGATTGGTAAACGGGAACAGGGAGAAAACGAAATTCGATTGACAATGCGTTAGACAGAGACGCATCTCTGGCACACCTTTATGTGCGACTCGGACCCCCAGCGTGGGTCGCTGTTGGGCGACACGGACTCGAGCAGCGCGCGCGCCTCGACGATGCGGGACTGCTTCATGAGGCAGATGCCGAGGTTGCACACCTTGTTGCTATCCGCCTCCACGCGCAGCGCCTTCCGATACACCGACTCCGCCGCGACATAGTTCCCCTGCTGCATGTACGCCCAACCCAGATTCCCTAGCAGCCGCGTCGCCTCCTGCTCGATCGACACCTGGAATTTCTTCCCCTGCGACCGCGCCGTCTTGGTGCGCTTGCCGTTGAACGCGACGCCCTGGCGGATCATGTCGAGCTTGTGCTTGAGCAGCGCCACCTGGTCGTCGAGGCGCCCGCAGCGCTTGAAGAGGTCCAGCAGCACGTTGTCCAGCGACTCCTGCGCCACCTCGGAGCACTTGTGGCGCAGCGAGCGGATGGCCTCGATGGCCTCCTCGGGGCGGTTCTGCTGCTTCATCACGATCGCCATGTCCTTGAGCGCGCTGTCCACGCGGTCGCCCGCGTTGATCGCCGACCAGAACAGCGCGATCGCGCGCACCGGGTCCTTGTCCACCAGCTGCGCGCACGCATGAGGGGAAGCGCAATGGTGGCGGGGAGCGGGGAGGGGTGAGAAGGCGCATTGCGGGGTGGGAGACGGTTATTTTGGAATAAACGCTTAGTTACGCTCGTTCCTGGATTCCGGTTCGTACCTGGACGTGTTTCGCGCGGACATACGGCGAGTCGCCGACGGGGACCTTGTGGATGACGTGGAACGCGTCGTTCGACTTGCCCTCCTCGCCCGCCATACTCCACCCCGCGCTCCCTTCGTCATCGCCCGAAGCGGAGCTTTCAGCGTACGCGCTGCCCGCGTCGGACGCTATTGAGGCGGCGTCGGCGCTGCCTGCTCGCCTCGCGAAGGGCAGCGGCTTGGACGGCGAGGTGGGGGCGGACTGGCATCCCAACGACGCCTGCAATTGACCGTTGGTGAATCCGGAATGCTGTTGCTGCTGCTGCTGCAGCTGCTGCTGCTGCTGTTGCTGCTGCTGCTGTCTGGGTGCGTTGAACGAGTGAGTGTTCTGAATTTGGCCGTACGGGCCATGCGGAGCTTGCGCGACGCCGGCAGCGCCATTGTGGAAGCCGTGCCGCGGAGGGTAGCAGTCGGGCCACATTGCACGCGGAATGCCCGCTACTCTGCACCCTCTCTACGCTCCTGGGCTTCGAGCTACCTTAAACGAGTAGATTGTGCTAATTCTGCTGTGTCCTCATGGATAACACAAGCAGCTTCTTGGAGAAGCTGGTATTAGCGATCTAAGTCGGGCGAATTCGCGCCTGGATAGTAGCGATGTTGGGTTGAAGTCGCAGTTACGTTATGTGATGTCTGGGCGTGACCAAGGTGAGATGATGGTGGCTGGCTAGGGGTGCCTGCTGGGCATGTGTCGAAACGAATGTTGTGAGTGACGGCAGCGGGAAATGTGACAGCCTCCAAACTGGCCCACGAACGCGCATCAATGAATGCTTTCGCCGACAGACCTCGTCGGTCACTGGACGATGGCGTGAGCGATTGAGCGACGATGGTGGAACGATGGATTGAATGGAGAATGAAGGGTAATTTAGTCGGCGCCACTTCGTCGCATGGCCGTGGACTTGTCGTCCATCGGCTCAGCGAGAGAAACGATTTCATTTGCGCTGCGGTGGGGGCATCATCCATCAACCATGTGACTCAACGCGGCGCTCAGGACGTGCCGCGCGCCTTTGATTCCAAAAAGCCGTAACGGCGCGACACAATGCGACGTGCCTCTCCCAGCTTCCTATCACCAGCTTTCGCAAGTCGCACAACATTGACGATCAAATATCAAATGGAGTCGCAGGACTGTTTTTGCTTGGAGCGAAGCCAAGCGCGGGCAGAAAACCAACTATGCGAACGGTTGCGACCATTCCCAGAGTTGGCGAACGGTTGGCGGCACTATCAAGATGTCGTTAGGTGAAAGAAACACGTTTCCAACATGTGGCGGCGACCATTGGGTGAAAAAAAACGTTGACGAGTTTGACGCTGACATGGACAATCATAGTGCTGCCCGTAAGGCGGCTTTTTGAAACCTTTACTGTATCGTAAGAAAGTTTTGAACAATTCGTCCGCCGAGCCGTCATCTGTCAACGGTCGGCAGCAAGCTTGCGGGAAAATCTTTCCCGCGCGAAGTGCACCAGTCACTAACAACCAAACGCTTTGACAAGCTCCGCTTCGACAACCACCAGTACATGACGAACGACATACAGCAGATTGCCATTTGAAGATATACATTATGAGAACATATTGCTATTCCCAACCAAACAAAAAAGTTCCCTTGCGATATGTATAAGAACGAACAGTGGAGCAGCATATGGAAGTAGGTTACGTCGTGCTGAGAACCTCCGGCACGATAACAGGCTGAAATGGACACAGTTGCAAAGAAACCAGGTCTCGAGTGAATATCATGTGGAAGATAATAACTGACCTGCAATGGCGTCCTTACGTTAACTTCATTTCCAACTTAAGACAACCACAAATGTACCTGGAGGTGCCAGATGTCACGCGCGTACTCGGCAATGGTTCGGTCACTGCTGAATCTGCCCATCATTGATGCTGCTATCTGCAATGGCACATGAGGGACAGGTGATAAGCCAACCAGAGAAAGGGGGCACACAAATAACATGCATTGGGAGCTACTCAACGCGATAATGGAGGACATGGCACACAAGTAGATAATTCAGGAGCCTGGAAAAACTGATGCATGGAGGATACAGGATGAAAGTTGGAGAAAGGTGGGGAACAGAGGACGGAGGGGATGCGAGTGGACAGTGAAAGGGAGGGGATGGAGGGGGGAGAAGGGGGGACATACAATGGAGCGGCGGCACCACTCAGTGGGGTTGAGGAAGAGTGTGTCCACTGAATGCTGCTCACATGCACCCATGCACGAAAGCACCCATGCACACATGCACACATGCAAGCGCATGCAACCATGCAACCATGCAAAAATGCACCCATGCATACATGCACCCACGCACCCATGCACACATGCACCCATGCACCCATGTGCCCATGCACCCATGCTCCCATGTGCCCATGCACCCATGCTCACATGCACATATGCACCCATGCACACAGGCACCCATGTACATTTGCACCCATGCACACGTTGTGCACCCAGGCATATGCACACATGCTCATGTTCACATGCAAACATGTACACACATCCACACACACAGGGGATGGAAACTTGAGGAAATAGGCATGGGTGGAAGGGCAAAGAGAGTGGAGAGCATGTAGCAACGCCAGGTGTTGAAAGAACAGGTCAAGCCAGATTCCATCCAGCTGCCGTATCCCGTGACACGTGAAGACAGTGCTCATGGGGATGGCGGCAGATGGTGCATAAAGGAGGATCATGCATGAGGTGGGTGGTACCTGGGAGGAAGGCAAGGACGAGGGGAGAAGGGAACCTCTGGGGAAGAAGGCAACGACAGGAAGAGGTGGCACCTAAAAACCCTGAACCTGAGGGAGGTGGCACCTGGGGGAGATGGTACCTGGGCGTCGAGGTAGGAGGGCCAGTCGTGGGAGAGCAGGAAGTAATCATTGCCGCCGCCCAGCGACTCTAGCAGCGGCCGAAAGTCGTCCGCCGGCCCAAACACCCCCGCCTCTATCGTGCGCACCACCTGGGGGAAGGGGGGAGGAAGGGGAGCAGTGGCACGGTAGTGGCAACAGAAATGAACTCGTCACTGGCATGGCAGCAGCGCCAGCAGTAGCACAGCACTGGCATGGCAGCAGCAGCACTGGCATGGCAGCAGCAGCACTAGCATTACATGACAGCAGCACAGGCTCACCTGAACAAGGCGGTCATCGTGGATGGCACCTGAACGAGTCGACTCATTACACGCGGCAGCACAGTGGCAGGAAATCAGCACTAGCACGGCCGCATGGGCAGCACCTGAACGAGGCGGTCGTCGTGGATGGGCTGGCGGAAGCGCAGGGAGTGGCGCAGCGAGTGGGTCTCGTGCGCGAGCGCGCCAAACACAAAGACGTTCTCGCGGCCGATGGCGTTGGCGATCTCGATGGTGGCGCCGTCCATGGTGGCGAGCAGCAGCCCCCCGTTGAGGGCGAACTTCATGTTGCTCGTGCCTGAGGCTTCCATGCCCGCCGTTGATATGTGCTGCGATATGTCACTCGCTGGCACTATCAGCTGCAGGGGTGTTGGGGAGAGGGAAAGGGGGGGAAATGGAGAGGAGGGAGGGTGTGATGAAGCGTAGGTGCTGGGAGGTGGGTGTGATCAAGGGGAGAACGATGGGGAGGGGCACTATGGTGTAGATTGTAGCTGCGAAGGACTATGGTGGAGAGAGGGGATGAGAGGAGGGAAGCAGCAAGGCAAGTGAGGGTGACCTAGAGAGTGAGGGTGCGGGTGAGGGCGAAGGTGAGGGCGAAGGTGAGGGCGAAGGTGAGGGCGAAGGTGAGGGCGAAGGTGAGGGCGAAGGTGAGGGCGAAGGTGAGGGCGAAGGTGAGGGTTAGAGAAGGCACCTGGGCGAGCGAGACGCTGTAGTTGGGGAGGAAGACGACTTTGAGCAGCCCGCTGATGTCGGGATCGCTGTTCACCCGCTGTGCCACCCTGCCAGAGAGGGAGGGGGGGATGTGTGGGAAGAAGCGGCGGGGGGGGAGGGGATGAGGGTATTTGAGGCCAGTACATTTTGTCGAGAGAGGATGAGGGGGACACACACAGGTGGTTGGCTGTGGTACTGTTGTGTGGCAGCGGACGGTTGAGGTGAGTGAGGAGAGTGGATGGGTGGGGTGCCGCATGTGAGAGGCAGCAGCACGGGCACATGAGAATGGAGAGAGCATTCGTGCACAGACACACATGCACAGCAAGGGGCACACTCACGCGTTGATGAGGTGGATGACACATTTGGCCCGGAAGTACCCCGGCGCCGCCTTGCCTGCTATGACCACCACCCGCGGCACCATGCGTGCACGCTCCTCAAAGCTGCTGCACTGCGGGACGGGGGTGGGGGAAGGAGACAAGCATGACATGCGTAAGGCAAGCAACACACATTACTGACTCGCACAACCCCATGCATGACACAGTCAGGACACATGGCAGATGCAGGGCAGTTGTGGGAGAAGCTGTCCCAGTGGGGTGTGCACCTTGATGCTGTTGTAGCGGTGAATGACCCCCAGGATGTTGAGCAGCTGCCGCTTGTACTCGTGGATGCGCTTCGCATGGCAGTCAAACAAGGCGCTGCTCTCCACCTGCACGCCACCCATTGGTGTGGGAGACAAGGGAAATGTTGGGGGTAAAAAAAAAGAAAAGAAAAGCCAGTGCTGGGGTGATGGGAGCAGGGAGAGACACAAGGCGCGTGTGTGTCAAACAGCCATAGCCACATGTCACACACCCCAACACATGACAACGATCTGCCTGCCTTGTTGCCTGCCTTCGCAACCCTCTTCCCTCCCCCCCCTCCCTCTCTCCCTCCCCATCCCTCTCTCCCTACCCCTCCCTCTCTCCAGACGCAGGACGCTGTACCTGGACCTGTAGGACGCACCAAAAGACGCAAGCCTGGGCAGGGGAAAAAAAACCCCCGGGCAGGCAAAAATAAGTTGTACAGGGCTTGGGAGAGGGGGGGTTGGGGACCTACCACACTTTTCGGGCTACAATTTCCCCAAGCACAAATTTGTTCCCCAAAATGTAAATTTAAGGTGGTTCACGCGTCACACAGTTATGGTGGTCACACACACGTTAAGTTCACAAATTACGACCATGCATACTACACTACCACTGCCAAGCATCAACTCTGCCATCACACATCCCCTCCATCCCCCTGGCTCTTCTTTTCCTCCTCGTCCTTGTCCATCGCTTCCTGCTCGTTGTACTCGTCGACGCACGGGTCGTCCTCGTCCACCTCCCTCTCCCCGTCCTCAACTTGTATCCCTTGGGGAGGGGAGGGGTGGGAATGTTACCCTCCACCACCCTCGCCCTCCTGACTTCCCCACTTGGCCTAGCTCCACCAGCTGCGCCCTGGTGGTGGCCGTGCACAACCGGCCAGTTGTGCGCCACAAACACCAGGTCGCGCACCTTCTCCGACCCGAGCCTGTTCCTGCGCGCCGTGTGCACCCCATCCCACGTGGACCATCCCCGCTCGCATGGAGAGGCGGAAATGGCCTGTGACACCGCACGGTGCGCGAGGCCTGCCAGTTCGGGGTACTCCCAGCCATTCACCTTCCACCACGCCGCCATGTCCCCCTTCCCCTCCTTCAGCTGCGCACGGCCCGCTTCCGCCTCCTCCGACCCAAACCCCCCCCTGCCCTCAATGTACGCCAACATCCCCTCCTGCAGCGCCAACATCGTTCCCTCCCGCTCGCCGTCCTTCTTCCAATACTTGTCGACGAAGGCCCTCGAGCGCTGCAGCCATTGCTTCATCACCCGGGTGCACTCTCTGTCCTTAAGGTAGATCCCCTCCTCCTGGTTGACCGGGTTAAGAATCCGGCCTACCACGTGAAGAGGGCAGGCCAAACTCTCATCCCATCGCCTCCGCAAATGCTCCAGCAACGCCTCCTTATCCGACTCCTCAAGCTTACAATCCGCCCTCTCCAACAGCTCCGTCAGGTCCACCGTCAGCTGCAGCATCAAGTCGTACAATGCCCCCATCATCCCCTTCGCTGGCCCATCCGTCTTCCGCATCAACTTGTACGGCAGCTCCATCACCTTGACGAAGGTGTCCACCTTGCCCCACCACTCCACGTCCATCACCGCCTTCTCAAAAGTTGTTCCAGTCTGCTGCTTCCTCCCCTTCTCGGCCCAGTCCGTGTGCGTCACCATCTTCACCAGGTGCTGGCGAATCTCACGCAGCCGTGAAACCGCAATGTACTGCGTCCCAAAGCGTGTGCCCGCCGGTCGCAGCGGCTGCAGCGACTTCTTCTCGCCGTGCAGCTCAGGACACCGGAGGAAGGCGCGCGTCCACGTGTGGCTGCGCAGGAACGCGATCATGTCGGTGGTTACTGACACGACCTCCTGCGCCCAATCCATGCCGCCAAAGTCCTCCAGCAGCAGGTCGAGCACGTGAGTGGCGCAGGGGACGAACTCCAAGTGCGGGTACTTCTTCTGCAGAAGCTTGCCGGCGGACACGTAGTTGCTGCCGCCGACCGTGCAAATCGCGACGACGTGCTCCGGTCCAAGCTTCTCGATCAGCGGTTGCAGGACGCTCACGATGAACGCACCAGTCTTTGTCTCCGCCTTACAGTCGTTGATGAAGACGACGTTCATCTGCGCGCGCCCGCTCTTGTCCTTCATCATATCGCTGGCGATCGTCACACCGGTCTCCTTCCACGACTTCGTGATGGGCGACAAACCCTTCTCAATCTGCTGCATGCACGCCAGCAACCCGGCGCCTCCGACGTAACCGACCTTGGGCGGAACGTAGCCGCCACCGGCGGCGTTAACGGCGCGCAGCATGTTGAGGAAGAGGGGGTGCTCGCAAACGCGCTCCGCCGTGCGCGTCCCCGCGATGAAGAGGCAAATCGCATCGTCTGCCGCACGCTTCGCCGACATCCCCCCCTCGCCGTACCAATCCTCCATCCGCCCCTTCTTTGGCTTCGGACCAGCTCCGCCTTGGCCGCTCACTGCCGTGAGCGCCTCCTCCAAAGCCCTCTCCTTATCCTTACGCGCCGTCTTCTTTGCGTCCTTCGATTCGCGAATGGCGTCGGAAACGCGCTTAGGAATATCCGCGCACACAACTCCGCCATCGCGCCGCACGTTCTCGTCACTCCAAACGGCGAGATGCTGCGTGCATCGGCTACTATTAAACGCGAACGTTTTTCCGCACCACAGGCACTCGCACTGCTTCCCCTTCTTGCCGGGATCATCGAACGTCCAAAAATGCCTATAAATATGGTGATCGGGTTGTTGCGGTTTTTTCTCTACGCCGTCCTTAGTGTAACGCACGGGGGGAGTGTCTACGTCAGCATCAATACTCTTAGGCGCGGTGGAAGAAGAATGTTTGCTCGAGGAAGCCATAGCAGAGTTTAGGTTGCAAGCTAAGGTAAGACCTACAACCTCTAAGGGTTTACGAAAGAGAATTGGTGAGGGGAAAATGAGAAGCCACAAAAGCTTGGCCACAAAATGTGCTTGGTGGTGGTGGGCCACAAGGGTTGGGATTTGTAGATGCTAAGAAGTTGAGAGATTTGAGTGAATTTCAATGTTGTTTGAGTTGTTAGGGAAATGTTAGGGGGGCTGGTTTAGAGTGTCGATTTGGGCTTGGGGGGGGGAATTTCGCGATTTCGACATTCGCGTCGAAATTGCGAATGTCAAAATCGCGATCGAATTTTTTTTTCCGGGCTGCCCGAATTTTTTTTCGACGTGCGTCCTGCGTCCGGACGCGCGTCCTGCGTCCTAGCGTCCGGACACGGGACGCAGCGTCCTAGATGCGTCTTTCCGAACATCGGCCGGCGGCACTCGGCCGGCGGCACTCGGCCGGCGGCACTAGGCCAGCAGCACTACCCTCCCTCTCTCCCTCCCCATCCCTCTCTCCCTCCCCATCCCTTTCTCCCTCCCCATCCCTCTCTCCCTCCTCATCCCCCATGCCCCCAAAGCCCCATAATCCCATCCGCCCCACCTACACGCCACACGCCTTGCGAATGTGCCACACGATCCTTGTTGCCCGCCTTGGCAGCACCCCAGTCCGCGTGCGTCCCCTCCCTTCCCCTCCCAGTCCTCCATTCCTTCCCCTCCCACAATACCCCCGCCTCTCACCCCTCCCACCTACCCGTCCACCCACCTGCACGCCACATGTCTTGCGGATATACACCGCGAGGCGCTCCTTATTGGCCACCTTGGCAGCGGTCCAGTCAGCATGCAGCGCAGGCGAGTTAGCATGCGCCCTCAGGCCCTGGATGAGCGAGAGATCGCGCACCCACTCATCTGAGCCTAACCACTTGGTGATCACCTGCATGGGATGGGCGGGATGAAGGGGAAGATGGAGAAGGTGGGAGAGGGCATAGAAACGTGAGTAGACGAGTGGCGAGTTAGCATGCGCCCTCAGGCCCTGAATGAGCAATAAATCCCGCACCTATTCGTCTGAGCCCAGCCATTTCGTGATCACCTGCATGCAGGGGAAAGAGCAGGGGTTGGGAAGGGGGGAGAAAAGCGTGGGCAGGGGAGCTGGCACGCGCTCGCAGGCCCTGGATGAGCGAGAGATCCCGCACCCACTCGTCTGAGCCTAACCTCTTGGTGATCACCTGGGGGGCGGATGGGAGGGCCGGGTGGGGGGGGGTGACAGCAGAGAGGGCAGGCGAGCTGGCGTGCGCTACCAGACACTGAATGAGCGAGCTGCACCCACTCGTCTGAGCCCAACCACTTGGTGACCACCTGCACCGAGGGGAGGGAGTGGAAGGAAAATGACTAGACAGATTGAGTGACATATTTTAACTTCCTCTGCCCCCACCTGACTCTATTTGCCTTGCCACGTACCCCTCCTCTCCAATCGCCCCCGCCCTTATGCCCCCGCATGCCTCTTGCCTGTGAGAGCCGCGGGTTGGCGAGCAGCAGCCAGCGGCGCGGGGTGACGCCGTTGGTCTTGTTGTGGAAGCGCGTGGGGAAGAGGTCGACAAAGTCTGGGAAGAGCTGCGTGCGCAGCAGAGTGGAGTGCAGCTCTGCTACACCGTTGATGGCGTGCGATCCAACGGCTGCCAGCACCGCCATGCGCACCATCTTGGGGTGGCTCTCCTCGATGATTGACAGCCGTGCCATGCGCTGCCCCTCGCCCATGCACCGCGCCTCCACCTCCTGTGAGCATGCACAGGGAGATACATATATGGGCGCACAGACGCACAGGAGGACACATACAGGGCCACACACACGCAGGTGCATGGTTTAGGCTTCAGCACAGTGTACTGTGCGCACCCAGCCCAAGAACACCGTGTACACAGCCCCACGAAAGAGCGGCAATTCTTGACCTGGCTGAATGACCATTGCTGTGGCACGATCAATAGTATAGAGAGTTTTGTGTACGGAGCACGCACTTAAAAGACGCTGCCATGAAGGGGCGCACATTCACCTGCAGGTGGCGGTGGTTGATCTCAAATATCAGGTCCATGACTCGCTGCAGCACCACTTGCAGCAGCGCCACGGGCCAGCCTTCGAGCGCCTCAGGCAGCACGGTGTGGTTGGTGAAGGCCAGCAGCGCCACGGTGGGACAGATAGAGACACAGACAGAGGGACACACACACAGGCCCAGAAACTAACCTGCAAGTGCCGGTGGTTGATCTCAAATATCAGATCCATGACCCGCGGCAGCACGGCCTGCAGTAGCGGCACGGGCCAGCGTTCGAGAGCCTCAGGCAGCACGGTGTGGTTGGTGAAGGCCAGCAGGGCCACGGTGGCTTGCCATGCATCGCCCCACTCCAGCCCGTGCTCGTCCAGCAGCAACCGCATGGCCTCGGGCACCGCTAGCGCTGGGTGCGTGTCGTTCAGCTGCACCGCTGCTGCCTCTGGTAGGGATGCCACTGGCCGGCCTGACGCCACGTGCCGTGATATTATGTCCTGATGCGCACGTGATGGGCGGAGGAGAAGGAGAGAGAAGGAGGATATGAGGCTTTTCTTGAGACACCAGAACCCACCCACGAGTACACCGCCCTCTACCTCACCTGAAGCATGGCAGCCCCTCATTTCCCCCTCCCCCTTCACAACCCACCTGCAGCGTGGCCGAGACAAATAGTACTCCTGCTGCAGGCGCAGCTGCCTGCCCTGTCATGCCATTTACACGTCTCAACACACACCTGCTGCACCACAGCACAACTCACAAGCGCCTGCTCTCCGCCCCCCCCCCCATTCTCCCACCTGCAGCGTGGCAGAGACAAAGAAGTATTCCTGCTGAAGGCGCAGCTGGCGGCCCGCGTCGCTGCTGTCCTCGGGGTACAGCACTGCACTGATGGCCTCCGCCCTCGCTGCCCCGCCCACCGCCTCCACGTGCCGCCCCGCGTTGAATAACGACAAGTCGAAGCCGCCCGAGAGTGGCTCGCTAGTGGGCCGGGCGAGGATTATTGAAAAACGGGGAGCATGCATACCAGCAAAAGGGGTGCACCGCACAGCACAGCACAGCACAGCACATCACATCACAACATCGGTGTGGTGTCTAACAGACAGAGCAGCACAACAGAGAGTTGGCACGAAGCAGAGCACAACACACTCAGCTCTGCACCCCTTCCTTCCCGCTCACAGTCCAGGTGACCACCCCTTTCTTGCTCCTCCCCGCGCCCTCCTCCCCCAAGCCTGCTCACCAGCGCCAGAGGCGGAGGCGGTTGACATTGCCGGTCTTAAAGCCCGGCACGGGGATGTCACTGGCCACCGCCTCCACCTGCTCGCCGCCCTCCCAGCGATACCGCGTGCGCGTGCCCTCCACACGCACCGCCACGTGCCCAAAGAAGCGCACGCGGTGGCGCACGTGCGGGCGCAGGATCTCCCAGGGGCACCCCCAGGGGTGCAGCCACGCGTCCGGCGCCTCCTGCTGCCTCAGCGCTGCCACCCGCTGCTCAAACATGCCGTAGCGGTACCTCACCCCGTAGCTGCAAGGGGGGGTAGCAAGAGCAGGTGAAAGGGAGCGAAGGGCAGAGGAGGATCAGGAGGGAGCAGGAGCGTATGGCACATGGTGGCAGCAATAATCGGCAGGTGGTACATTCACCCCACTACCCCAGCAGCAGCAGCAGCAGCACTTACCCCCAGGCGGGGAGGTTGAGAGTGGTGAGCGAGTCGAGGAAGCATGCAGCAAGGCGGCCCAGCCCGCCATTGCCCAGCGCTGGGTCCCTCTCCTCCTCTGCAGCCTCCTCCATCGACACGCCCAGCTGCTGCAGCGCTGCACCGTACTGCTCCTGTTGGCGGGGGGCAAGGGGGAGGAGGCGGGAGAACAGGTGCGGAGAATGGTGGGGGGTGGAGGGGAAGGAGTGAGGGGAGCGGGGTGGGGATGAGAGGCAGCAGTGGTGCAAGTGTGGTGTGCCGGCAGAGCCACTCGTGACTGCCGCAACAGCGTTGGTGCAGGGCAGCTCGTGATTGGGGGCAAAGCGGGAGGAGGAGAAGGAGAGGCGAGAGGATTGGGAAGGGTTTAATTGGTTTGCAATGAGGCGAGGAGAGGGGACAGGACAGAGAGGAGGAGGAGCACGTGTGTGAGGAGCACGTGTGTGAGGAGCACGTGTGTGAGCATGCTCGAAGGCGAGGGCGAGGGCGAGTGAGCGGAGCGCTTACATCGAGGCCGAGGCAGGTGACGGCGAGCTGCAGCATCCTCCCTATAAGGTACTCCATTGATAGATAGTACACCCGCTTGCACCCCTGCTCGCCACACATGCGCACACGCATGGAGAGATGGGAACGACCGCCAACAAATTTATTGTCTACTGAAATCCACTTGCAACGACGCTTCGTCTCTTATGTGTGAGACCATCTCAACCGCCCTACTAGGTACTCTGTTCTCCTCTTTCCTACGAATTCAGCCCCTACCCCCCAATCCGCTCGGATTCGCGCGCCTCACCGCGTCGTCATACGCGCGTTCCGTCGCATCCATCCGCGCGATCAGGTGGTCTCGCACGCTCATCGCAGCCGCGCGGTAGACGTCGCCAGGCGACAGGTTCTCGCGATCGCCGCACGCGAGCGAGCAGTGCGCGTGTCGCACGATCGCACGGTGCACCGAACCCGCCGTCACCGCCTCCTCGTTTCCCCCCGCCTCGCGCCCGCCCTGCTGCGCCGCCATGCTACTCGGCGCGCTTAGGCGGACGCCGCAATCATAAGGCGCACGCGCGCCAGCTGGCTCCCCTAAAGTGTCCGGACATGCTGATGGGGGCGCGGATGCTGCACCGTTGGACGTTGCACCTGGCACGGGACATGTATCTTCCGCCGCCATACGTAATTCTAACATTCAACTGCTGCAAAGCGAACGGACGGACCGCGCTAAGGAGTGAAGAGAAAAGTACTTGCCATTTCCAGTGTGGCTACTAGGAACGTGGCATTGCGCGGTTGGGGGTGGAGGGGATTGGTCTGATCGATCTGACACGACAGACTGTTGGGAGAAATGATACCTCGATATGTGCGGTGCAGGTTTCTGTATATTAGAAAAGCGACGCCTCGATATGGTGTTAGAGAAGTAAACAATTGTGATAAACTTCCTTCTCTACCATGAACGGATCACCGGTAACATGTTTATGATGATAATGAGAAACCAAATCATGAGAAAGAAAACAGTTGGTACTTTGAAACTGCCGCTGCAATGAATTTTTCCTTACCTCGTGTTTTCCTAATAATGCTGTCATATACACGACTGTAGTATACCGTTTTCTTGTAGAAGGAGCTGGCACTTTGCTTGTTGTGGGATCTGAGCATGGTTTGTAACTCGGTAGCGTTTGACTCAATTTCGTATCGCTTCTGTTAGTTCCAGAAGAATGGCAAGTTCCAGTGTGGACACGTTCAACGCACAGTTGTTTGGCAGCGGTGGCGCATGCGCACACTGCAGAAGCGTGCCCCTTGATTGCAGTGGGGGACGTTGGGGTCGGTTGGGACGTTTGCACGACGGAATCTCAATGTGTGGTCACGCTTCAACGATGTCACGGCAAGGACCAGGTTTCGGTCTGGTGACAAGAACATTCAGCATAACGGAAAGAGTCCCACGCATGTGGCCTTGAATCGAAGCACAGGCGGGCTGATGTTGAACGGCTTGACTGCTTTTCCATGATTCGCCCTACCGTGCAGTGGCCAGACTTGTCTCCGTTTCAGCCAGGAGTCTCGTGTCGCGTCGCTGCCGCGATTCAGGAGCAAGCGAGTGGCTGAGAGGTGTCTGAACCATCCCAGAATCGTAGGAAATTGCGACGGGCAGCTTTCTATCGGCGGAGTGTCGTCTCGCACTGCTGTACTGTAACCACACTGCACTGTTTGGTACGCTCGCATTTCGGAAAGATTCTCTTCCCGACAAGCAGTTTGTCGAGCGATTTCAGCGTTGCCCATCATTCCAGCCTGAACAATTTGCTGCCTGATTTTTCTGGCAACTCACCCCGCCAGAATCTCACTAAGTTATCCATTTCATTGCTCCACTTCTCATTCTAAGATGCTCTTCGCGCGACACGACGCAGACGACCACGTGGCGTGTGTCGGCGGCCAGCTGAAAACTACCCCGTCTCCCTCCTAATCGACGCCTCTCCATTCGCGTATTTCTAATGTTTCTTGAAGAGTTATCACTTCTCCGCTCTTCCTCGTCTCCCACTTTCCTGATTCAGTCTTATTTGAGATCCTTCGAGGCAACTTATTTAGTCCGAACCGTTAGATTGTCCATCGCTTTCCCAGCGCAGTACGGTCACCCCGTGTAGATTCCCAAAATGCCGGCCATGGCGCTGAAGCTGTTCAAGCGCGGGCAGACCGTGCTGCTCATGCTGCCCGACGGCGGCATGCGCATCTACGCGGACGCGGTGCGCGTGGCGCGCGTAATGAAGGACTATCCGGGCTTCATGGTCGGATCGCACAACTCCGCGCGCCTCCACCTGCCGCCTGAGAAGCTCTTGCGACCCGGCAATTCTTATTTCCTCCACGCGCCCTCGGAGACCGACCCAGCCACCGCCGTGCCCCCACCGCAACTCGATACGACAGGCGGACTGGCGGAGTACACCCGCGACTATGGCGACTATAACGTCGACGAGAGATCGCCAGATCTACGGTCGCCCGCGAGCGGCGCATTGTGGACGGCGAAAGAGGAGGTGAGCCTTGCGAGCTTAGCTTCTGTTATTTGCGGTGTGAAGATCAAGCATTTACATCGCCTTGCATGAGCATTGGGAATACCTTCCTTTCGCGGAGCTACCGTTGAGCGCGTCACTATCCCGCCGTTTTACTTGGATCATGGATCGCCTTTTGACGCTGTATCCGTGCTCCCTCTCCCTCCCTCGCCATGGTCCCTCGCAGTCGCGTCGCGCCAGCATCTCTCTCCACTCATCAACAACCGCCCGCCCATCCTTGCCGTCCCGCGCCAACTCCGCGCCGCGCTACAGTCTCGACGTGCGCAACGACGGCCGCGGCGGCATCCGACGCAGCTTCTCAGCCAAAGATCTGGAGAACGTGCCGATTCCACAGCCGCCAGCGGCGCCTGCGCCGGCGCCGTTTGCGCCGGCTCCGAAGCGACCTCCGGCATCACGACTGGGCATGCGACGAAGCGCGTCGGCGCAGAACCTTGCTGAGCCCGGGGCGTCCGTAGAGGCGGCCGTTGCGCGTTATTCCTATCTAGAGCCCCCTGCCGAGCACCCGACCGAACTCGAATCGCCGGATCATCCGCATCAGCGTCGCTGTTTTCACGCGAGGCACGGGAGTATGGAGTGGCAACCGGAGTCGCACTCGCCATCGCAGTCGCATTCGCCAACGCACTCGCAGTGGTCAACGAGATCGCTGTCGCACTCGCTCGCGCAGTCGCAATCGCACTCGCAATCGCAATCGCAATCGCAGTCGTTCCAAACGCAGTGGGACGGCAATTCGCGCTTCGCTGCGGATGCGGTTCCGCGACAGCACTGGCAGCGCGCCAATCTGTCGAATGCCGCGCCGATGGGCGTCTCGTCGTCCGGCTACTTACCGCGAACGTTTCCCACCGTTGATTCCCGCCAGCCCGCCAGCCCATCCGGACCTCCGCGGCTGACTCGGCGCGCTTCGCTCGCGATCGACATGTCCTCCCTCACCCTCTCCCCCTCCTCCATGGCTCCCCCGCAAACGTTCCGCCGCCTCCCCCCCAACTTCCAAGCGCAAGACGTTGCCCCCACGCCTGCGGTTCCCCCGCGCCTGCTGTGCGCGGGGGACGTGCGGGTCGCGCTGGGCGCCAGCATGGGCAAGTCGATGAGCTTCCCGGATTTCGCGGGCCTAGAGAGCGGTGACGTGGCGCTACGCGCGCAGCCGGGGTCGCGGATGGCCCGGGTAGACAGCGGAGGCGGAAGCGGCGACTGGGGAAGCGGCGAAAACAGTCCGGGGGCGATCTGGGAGTGCGAGGAGGAACAGGGGAGAATGGAAAGGAGCGGCAGCGGCGGAAGCGTTGGCAGCTTAAGCCGCAGGCGGTCGGGTATTCCCAGTAGTAGATACGCTGCCCCTGAGCCACAGTTGCCGCCGCTGCAGCCGCAGCAGCAGCAGCAGCAGCAGCAGCAAAGAGCGTGGAAGGCAGGACAGTACGGCCAACTCATTCCGCCCGCTGTGTGTGCTCCGCTCCCCCCTATCTCCACCAACGCGCTTAGCCTCTCCCCTCGTCCCCATGTCAGTACTCCCCCAGCGTGTTCTCGCCTCTTGCCCACTCTGCCCACCTCCGCTCCCACTTTCGCCACATGCAGCTGCAGCAGGGGCTGTAGCTGGGGCGGTAGCGGCTGAGGCACGGGTTGTAGCGGCTGAATCAGGGGCTGTAGCGGATGCAGCAGGATTTGTACCGGCTGTAGCAGAGCTATAGCACCTGCAGCAGGGGCTGTGGGCGTGCAGATTCTGCAGAGGTGCTGGGGAGAGGAGCAATTGGGTCCGATCAGACTGTTTTTACAGCCAGGGGCGGTGGATACACGTGTGGCCTTGTGCAGACACAGCAGCAAGCAGCTGCTAAGTGCGCTAGGCACGCATGCCCTCTCTTTTTGTGCTCCAGCATGCATGCCCTTGCAGCTTAGACTAGATGTGTGTGTGTGTGCGCCCTTGGCGTGTGGTGTGGAGTGGTGTGCACATTGCTGCACCTTGTAGGCTAGAGAGTGCTTAGTCCCCATCTGGTGTGCTTCTCACAGGCATCTCAAGTGTGGATGGTGAGGCTTGCACCCCATGGTGCTCATTTATTTGTATTTATTTGACAATACATCAGCACATGTAATATAATGTACGTACATGTTGTGACCTAGATTCAGTCTATGTCATACTCAGCAGCCACCACCTGCCTGCACCCTTAGAATATCAGGGCACTCTACAGCTGGTCATACCGGTACTTACCATGCTGAAAAAGGGACAGGGAGAGAAGGAACTCAGTGAAACCATTTTCAATCCCGTTACCCTAACTGCTGGAAGGTACAGATCCTCCCGGTGAGGGGTGGGGGGCAGGCTGAGTTGGGAGGGAGTAGGAAAACGTGCCTGCAGCAGCAGGAGAGGAAGCAGGGTTGGTGGTGGGCAAAGTAGCAGCAGCAGCAGGCACAGCAGCAGGCACAGCAGCAGGCAGAGTAGTGAGAGCAGCACTGGCCACAGCAGCGGGTGCAAGTGTGGCGGCAGGCGTTGGTGCGGGTGCGGGTGCAGGTGCGAGAGGGGATGCAGGTGCAAGCGCGGGGGGTGGCAGCGGGGTGGGGCGGCAGCACCAGTTGGAAGCGGCAAAGAATGGCTCGTGGCGCCACGTGATCACCAGCGCATCACCCCTCCGCTCTATGCCGTACCCCTCCCTGTACCGCTTCAGCAGCAGCTGTGGGAGTGGGAGCAAAGGGGTGCATGGGTGGGGTCACAGAAAGGGACTCACTAAACGCCCCTGCCGCTCTATGCCGTACCCCTCCCTGTACCGCTTCAGCAGCAGCTGTGGGTTGGGAGCAAAGGGGTGTATGGGTGGGGTCACAGGGGGGGACTCATTGAACGCCTTACAAGCCACCCCGCTGCTCTATGCCGTACCCCTCCCTGTACCGCTTCAGCAGCAGCTGTGGGATGTGGAGCAGCAGGGGGTTATGGGAAGATATGAGAGTGAGATGTTATGGTGAGTTGGTGGGCACAGGGAAGACGGCGGTGGGGTATGGGTGCAGTGGAAGGAGCAGAGGGTGAGTATACTTGCCAGACTTGAATCCCTTTGAAAGTTCTCAATACACAAAGATGACTAAAACGACAACCAACACCAACAAACTCACACATCATGACACGTCAGCACTCACATGCGCGTTCTCCTCCACGTCAGCACTGATAGCGCGCGGCACGAACCCGCAGCGCTGCATGCGCTGGTGCCACCTGGCGTGGCTCTCATGGCGCTCCACTCTATCCCGCCCCTCACACGCGATGATGTTGACCAGCTTGCGCCCGAATATCCTCTCCTCCACTAGCGCTCGTTCCGTGCTGTTCCAGGGCAGGCTGGCATCTAGCGACTCGTAGAGAGCGCTGAAGTAGTGCAGGGCTTCTCGGAAGCGCGAGAGGAAGGAGGGGATGTTGTGATCCGCGTGCTGGTGGGGAGGGATTGGGAGGAAGCATGGAGGGGTGGGATGGGAGAGGAGGTGGAAGGGGAGGAGAGTGACGATGGTGGATACGAGTCGACAAGGAGATGAGGAATTCCCAGACATAGTATCTTTTTCTGCATACACCTAAAACACCCCACTCTCTCCCCCCCCCACATCTCCCACATCTCCCACATCTCCCACATCTCCCACATCTCCCACATCTCCCACATCTCCCACATCTCCCACATCTCCCACATCTCCCACATCTCCCACATCTCCCACATCTCCCACATCTCCCACATCTCCCACATCTCCCACATCTCCCACATCTCCCACATCTCCCAATCCCCTTTCAACCTTCCACACCCCCTTTCATCTCTTCCCTCCCCCCCGCACCTGTTCAATGAGAGTGACGACGGCGGGGTTGAGCGATCGGATCATGAGCAGAGTGCAGTTGCGCTGGCTGGGCACAGGACCTGCATCTACTCACCCACCCCCCACTTCTGCCCCCCATACCCCACCCCTCCCACCCTCCTCCACTCCACTCCACTCCCCTCTCCCACCTTGTAACTCCCCACCCATACCTGTTCAATGAGGGTGACGATGGCGGGGTTGAGCGATCGGATCATGTGCAGAGTGCAGTTGCGCTGGCTGGGCACGTGCGGTGCGTTGCTCTCATCGCGCATCTGGTGCAGCCGCAGCAGACAATTTACCACCAACACCTCGTCACTGCGCACCGCGAAGTGCTCGGGCTGCCATGCAGGGAAAGGTGGATTAGAGGGGAGGGGGGGCACATCAATGGAAATTGCGGGGGGAGAGCAGCATGTCTGGTGCAACCTGAGCAGGCAGTTCACCACTAGCACCTCATCGCTGCGCACTGCGAAGTGCTCGGGCTGCAAGGAAAGGAACGGTGGAGTAGAGGGGACAAGTCAAAAGAGCGATAAGGGGGGTGCAGCCTGAGCCGGCAGTTCACCACCAGCACGTCGTCACTGCAAATTGCTCCGGCTGGAAACGATGGAAAGGTGGACGGGGAGGGGGGGAAACGGAGTGGCGTGCAAAGAAAATTCATGTGCAGAGCAACAGGTGGTCATGGCAGGCATATTGTACATCTTGAGACAGGCAGGCAGGCAGGCAGGCAGGCAGGCGGGCAGGCAGGCGGGTGCGCAGGCAGGCAGGCAGGAAGGCAGGTGGTGGTGGGCACCTTGAGGTCGTCGAGCTGCTCTGTGATGGGCGTGAACTCAAACGGCACTCCTATCACCCTCGCAAACGCTGACAGCCGCCTCCCCGTCTCCTGCTCACACGCACGCACATACGGAAAGGGGGGAGGGTGGGGATGGGGTTGAGGGAATGGGAAGGTTAGACGGAGAAAGACGAACAAGGTGGTGTGGCGTTGCGGTCGCCACACGACATGCAGGGTTGCGCATAGCAACCACACAACCAACCAACCACCACAGATCCGGAAGCAACAGCTTGAGTCCAGCCCATGCCATGCACCCCCGTGATCCTCACATGAACCAGCATCTTCAGAACCCCATAGGCCCTTTCACCCACCCGCTCAGCCAACCACACACCCAGCACCCACCCACTTCGCCTCGCCACCCATCCCACGCACCTCCAGCGAGGAAGGCTTGAGCCCAGTAAGGGGTGCGTCCACTCCCGTAATTCGCAAATGTGGCGGGCCGCCAGGGCGCGTGGCGAGGCTTTCAAGCAGCGTGGGCCACTGCGTGCCGTGGGTGATGCCCAGGTCGATCACGTGCACCCTCCTCGCTCCCTCCACCGCCTCTAAGCAGCGCATCCCATGCACCCATCAACCCCTCCCACGCACCCACCATCCCACCCACCTCCAGCGATGATGGTTTCAGCCCGGTAAGTGGTGCATCCACCCCCGTGATGCGCAGATGAGGCGGGCCGCCAGGGCGAGTGGCGAGGCTTTCAAGCAGCGTGGGCCACTGTGTGCCGTGGGTGATGCCCAGGTCGATCACGTGCACCCTCCTCGCTCCCTCCACTGCTTCTAGAATGCTGCCGTTGGCCACCAGGTGCCCGAAGTTGATCCACGGACACGCCTCACAGAACACCAGCACTGCAGACAGCATCGCCTTGCTGGATGGGCCTGGTTGACTGCCTTGGCGGGATTGCAGCGCCTGACAGGAAAAGGTGAGAGAGGTGTGGGGGGGACAGGACGGGTAAATGCGAAGTTGATCCACGGGCACGCCTCACAGAACACCAGCACGGCTGACAGCATTGCTTTACTAGATGGGCCGGGCTGGCTGCCCTGGCGGGATTGCAGCGCCTGGAGGGAAGGGGTGAGAGAGGCGTGGGGAAGGAAAAGCAGCGGTTGAGGTTACGTTGATCCACAGGCACCGCCTCACAGAACACCACCACGGCTGACAGCATTGCTTTACTGGATGGGCCGGGCTGGCTGCCCTGGCGGGATTGCAGCGCCTGAAGGGAAGCAGTGAGAAGGGTTGGTGAGGGTGAGGAGAGGAGGAGGGGATTGGGGTGATTGAACTCATAGTTACCCATCCACAGACACAAATATCAAGGCACCTCTAGTGCAAGCACAGTTGAGCGCACTTGTAAACGAAACAGTGCTCTGAAACAAGGACAGCTGCCACCCACCCACCTTACCAACAGCGCCCACCTTATAAATAGCCGACCCAGTGCCGGCAATCCTAGCAGCCAACGCCTCAAGAAAGTAGTACCCCAGGCGCTGCTGTGCAGTGCCGTGCGGTGACACGAGGTGCGCGAGGGCGGACATGCGCGAGTGAGCCTGCACCAGGTCGCGCCTGTCCACGGCCGCGGCACACTCCATCAGCGCCACCTCCATGGGGGACGTCACCGGGCGGAAGGGCGGAGGCAGGGGCGCAGCCAGGCGCGTGGGGTCTGCTGTGGGTGCCCCAGTGGGTGAGGGCTGTTGGGGAAGGTTATTGGAGGCTACTGCTGGTGGCTGTGTGGGTGGCATAGGCTGCAGGCCGTTGGAGTGTTGAGGGACTGTTTGTGGTTGAAAGTTGGGAGACTGGTTCCATCCTTGTTGCTGCGCTTGCAACGACTGCTGCTGCTGCTGTGCTTGCAATGGCTGCTGCTGTTGCTGCTGCGGCTGCTGCTGCTGCTGTGATTGTAACAATTGTTGCTGCTGCTGTGCTAACTGTTGCTGCTGCTGCTGTGCTTGCAATAACTGCTGCGGCTGCTGCAGTGCTTGCAACGAATGCGGCTGCTGCGTGTGTAAGGGTTGCGCAGGGAGAGGGTAGGCGTCGAGGAGCGCGGAGATGTCAGCGCTGGCCACAGAGTCGCTCTTCATGTCCGCGCTTTGCACTACCGCCCCCTCGCATGCCGCCTGCTCTTGCTGCCCCTGCCACTGCTGCTGCTGTTGGCCTTGCTGCTGCTGCTGCAACGGTTGCTGTTGCTGATCTCGCAGCATCTGCTGCTGCTGTGCGTGCAACGACTGCTGTTCCACCTGTGCCTGCAGCAGGCGATTTACTTGCTGTGCGCGCCACTCGCTCTCCGCCCCCCGCGCGCGCTTCCCCCCCTCCTGGCTCTCCGCCAGCAGCCTCAGATAGTCCGACGGTACCCTCAGCAGCCCTCCCCCTCTTCCCCCTCCCCTTCCGCCCCCTCCTCCCCTCCTCCCCCTCCTCCCCTTCCTCCCCCACCGCCGAGTGCCCCCCCTGTAGCCAATGCCCCGCCCTGCTGCTGCTCTGTGCCCTGCTGCCACGTCTGCGCGCCCTGCTCCTGCCCCAGCTGCCCTTGCTGCGCCATGGAGGGTTGCGCTTGCTGCTGGGAATACCGCGGAGGTAGCATGGGGGGAAGCATTGCGCCTGCGGGGCGCGCCTGCTGCTGCGGCGGCTGCTGCTGCACCTGCGACTGCAGCGGCTGCGGGGCGGCGGCCGGCGGAGCGGAAAGCGTCTGCAGGATCTGCTTTTGGCGGAACTGGCTCCCCAAACTCAGCGACCGCGCGCTAGGAATCGCGCCCCCCGTTCCGCCGCTTCCACTTGCGCCATTATCCCCCCCGCCACCGTTTCCCCCCAAAAACGCTGACGTGGCAGGTACTTGCTCGCGCCAAACGCCCGTGCTTTCCCCACTTCCCGCGCTCCCCGCTACAGCAGTTTCCGCTATCTGTCCCCCTCCCCTTTCTTGCTCTGCCGCCTCCCCCTCCGCGGGCCTTTCCGCTTCCCCAACCCAGCAAACGCGCGAGAAGTCCCCCCGCAGTTCCGCACTCTCCACTGACGTCAGCGTCTGCGCGCCTCCGGTGCTTCCGCCAGTGCTTCCGCCCGCTCCCCCCGCCGTGAGGCTGCTATGCGGACTACCCAGGCCCGACAGGCTCTGCGGAGTGACCCCCGCGCTGTCCGCGGAGTCCGCGCGGCGCATGGCATGCACGTCTGGCACCAGGCCGCCCGGCAAGCTAACGGCCGGAGTGTTAACGGCCGGCATGGCAGGAACAGCGGCCGGCGAATCGGCGCACGGTGGGCCGGCAGACGAGAGGCCGTTCAAAATCTCCCCGATGGAGTCCTGCGCCGGAAAAACAGGCGCAGCGCCATTCGCGGCGGCGATGGCGTTGGCGGCGGCGCTGGCGTCGAGCGGGTCGTCGTCGAAGGCGAGCGCGAAGGCGCTGAGATCGTCGTCATCGGGCGGGAAGAACATGTCCATCTCCTGTAGCAGCTGCGATATCTGCACGTTGCTCACGTCCCACGCGCCGCCCGCGGACGAGTCGGACCCCGCGTGCTCCGGCGTCGCCGGGCCTACCGCGCCTCCCCCCCACGCCGCGTCAACTGCGCCGGTTTCCGTCCGCATTCTCTTCCCGCACCGCGCCTCGTCCGCCGGCTGCGCGCAGGTTCCGCCGTGCGCGGAGGCGGGCGGCGTGACTAACGAGCTCGTGACCTCCGCGGTCGCGGAGAGGGCGCTGCGGGAGCAATGGGCGGCAACATGCGCGGAACCGAGAAGAGCGGAATCGGATTTAACGGCCGAGACAGATACGAAGTCCGATGTGCTGAGGAGCTTCGATGAAGAGGTCGCGGCGTCTAGAGGGGGTCGACCGCTCGCGACTTGCTGCGATACATTTCGCGGTACACCGCCTATCGACGACGGCTGCGACAGTCCTTGCGACGACTCCTGCGACATGGGCTGTCGTCGCGTGCGAATAAGGTCGAGCAGCTGCGACGCCACGTTCTGCGCTGACATGTCATCCATGGCGGACAAATATATCCCCTAACACTACCTGGAGAGACGCTAGAAACAGAGGACGGAGATAAGAGGAAATTGAGCTACGAGAACATTGTGCGTGAATCTAGGAGCTTCCTGCAAATGCTAATCAAAAGTGGAAACTTTGTAAGTTCGAGCGCGTATATCGGGCACGAGGGCTCGGCAGCGAGGGGGGAGGGAAAGGGGAGGATGGACGGAAGGGCACTATATCGAAGTCTCAGAGGTGAATGAGGACGATTGTGACTGAAAGGAAGGGCAGGCGGCAGAATTGAATGGGCCGACAACACGCGTGATGAACGCCCCCTTTTGCGGTTGTGGTTTACAAAACAGCACATCCGTACCCTTCTGAAACCAATGGAAACTCTCTTCACCTCATACAGTGTAGCTCCACCCTGCAAGGACTTGCATGCTTGCTTGCCCCATTTCTTTCCCGTTTGCAGTGCCCTTTTCACCTCCTCCAAACCAAATCCGTCACGCTCGCGCACTGCCACCACCACCACGTGCAGCATTTGTCGTTAGCTGGACTTTCATTGGAAAAGACCGTCCCTTCAGAATAATCACCTAAACACGCCTGGAGAGCTTGTGCTACACCTGAAACTTACTAAAGAAACCAGCGGTCAATCCTAAACACAAGGGTTGTAAAGATGTATTTAGCATGATGCATTAGAAAGCAAACAAGTGGTTGCTGGATGACATCTTCAACAATAGCGGAAGGAAACTACATGTGTAGGTAGGACCAGATCGTTCACGTCCTCTTCCCAGACCACATAGCGTGAAGGGTCATTGACATTGTCAGCTCCCGTGTCAAATCGAAGACTACTAGGCCGCTGCTGGGACGACCCAAACGGAATCGCCTCCATTGACCCAAGTGCCACACGGCAAAGCAGCATGTGCTTGCGCCCCTCGCTATCCGCCACTGCAAACTCTGCACTCGTGTACGCCCTCTGCTCCGGTGCCAGATACACCCCATCTCCATACAGCCTGCCGTTGCGGGCAGCAGCGGAAGAGGAAAGAGAAAAGCCGGTCGACACTATGCGATCTATGGCCATCCGAGGGGCACCGTGCCATCCAAGCCGCACGTTGCCATCGCCCCCCCTGGCTGCCTTGAGCTCTCTCACAGCTTCTTCAAAGGCTTGTGTGCGGGCAGCAGGCAGCAGCACCTGCTGCACGGACGACACTGTCACGGGCCTCATGCCATCCTCCTGCTCCACCACCCCTCCACTCACACTGTTCTGCCGGAAGCTGCTGTTCGGGCGGTCATTCCTGTCCCGTAGCATACCAGCCACAAACCGAGCCACAATCTCGTCGTACTCATCTGTGCCGGACCTCAGAACCTGCAGCCTCGGCAGCTCGTTGTCATCCAAACCAGCTGCACGTTGCCCTGGTTGGCGCCGAGCCAAAGGGGTGTTTGGTTCGGAGTCGGGGACATCACTGCTGAGGTCATCAGACATGTTCAGAGCAGCGGGGAGGGCAGCAGCAACTGCAGCCACTCCAGCAGAGGAAGAAGACGGCCTCTGCGCATCACCATCAGCACCATCATCCTGATAACGATCCCCGTCATCACCATTCTCTCCGTCACGGTGCGGTGATGAGGAGAGGCGTGAGACGAACTGAGCGCTGGGCGCAGGTTGTGAGAGCAAGGGATGGGGGGGAGGGCCGGTGAGGGAGAAGTAGACGGGGCAGATGTCGACGCCTGATTGGGCGAGGGAGCGCAGCTGTTGGTCGTAGCGGTACATGAGGCGCGGGTCCTGGCTGCCTGGGTGCAGCCCCTGGTGCGGGTTGGGAGGGCGGTTCCAGCGACCGCTGGGCAGCACTCGCCAGCTGATTGACTTGCAGAAGAACGAGGACACGTTGAACTGCCATGGGGGATGGGGGGGAGGCGAGGGGGCAGATGTGATACAAGCGGAAGATAAATGAAGGGAAGCAGCCAGGGCGCAAGGTAGATGCAGAGCAGAAAACAAGTGATTGAGTAACAACAGTTCGGATGAATCAATTCTAGCTTTCACTCTGACTAGGAAGCTCCATTGTCTGGTTCACCCAGTCTTTAATGTAATGACTCTGCAACCATCCCCCCCCACCCCCTTCTTCCCCCCCACCCTCCCCATCTCTCCCTTCCCGCGCCGCTCACCTGCTGCTGCTGCTGGAAGTCGACGATGTAGTGCGCGCCGGTGGCAGTGGCGAGGGCGGAGAACCCCACGCCCTCCGCGAGCTCAAACCCCAGCAGGCGCGACGCGTCCGCGTCGAAGGGACGCCACTGCCCCGACTCGTAGAACGCGAACTCCGCGCTGTGCTCCAACGCGAACGCCGTCAGCGCCTCCTGCACTGCCACGTGGCCTGCTGCCATCGCCACGTGGATGGGCATGCTGCCACTCTGGCAGGAAGAGAAGGTAGTAAAGGGGATAAGTTGAGCGCGAGGGATTCACATGCGCGGACCAACGCGGACGAAGGCGAAGCACGTGAAGAAGCGAAGTGGAAGGAGACTCACCCTGTCTCTGATGGCGTAGTCGGTGCCCGCATTGAGCAGATGCAAGAGGATGCCCAGACGCGGGGAAGGGCTGGCCGCTAGGTAGTGAAGGGGCGTGCGGCCGAACTGCAGAGACAGCACGCAGGTTGACACCGAGTGATGCGCATTAGTCACGGCATGCGAGGCCGGATCGGGTTGGAACGGGTTGCGATGCGTTACGGAGAAAATGCAATTGCATGGTGATGCAAGAGAGGGTAATAACTCACATCGTCTTTTCCGTCCACGTCAGCACCGGCAGCAATAAGCGCCTCGACCATGGCCTCGTTCCCCGCCGCCACGGCAGCATGCAGCGGGCGCCGTCCCACCAGCACCGGCTCCCGCGCACGCGCATTCACGTCCGCGCCCTTTCTGAGAAGCTTCTGCAGCTTTGCCGTGTCGCCTTTCACCGCGACGCCATCTATGCTCGAGCCGCTACTGCTCGACAGACCCGGCACGTGCCACCGCACCATAGTCTCGCGTCGAGACGTTCCGCCGTTCACGGAGGGGTCCGCGAGCAATAAATAAAGACTGGACAGGGCCGAAACTCGCTTACTAGAGAAGCCTATTGAACGGAGGTTACAAGACGGTCTGCTCTTCGCAGTCTTTCCACAATATGTAGTTTTTTGTAAAGATCCACAAATACTTTGGTGCTGCACGGCAAATACAGCTCTCTATGCGGCATACTTGGACGCTTTGCTTCTTGGGCTGCTCAACTGCCTCACCCAGGCCTTGCTCATTTCTCTTCTTGGCTACCCCAGTCGCCGTGGAACTTTGTCGGCAATTCCTAGGTGCATCGGTTGCACGGGCTCAAGCCGAGTCTTCGCAACCACCGTTCACAGCCGCCGATTGGACTTGGTCAGGTTTTGACGAAAGGGACGAAACGGTGATGCGGCAGTGTGGCGACAGGGAATGGTCAGCAGCGGGCTCTTTGCGAAGGGTCTGCGAAATGGGAGAAACCACTAGGAGAATACGACAATCTGTATTCTTCATTATGCATCCCGATAAGCATTTCTAGATTGACTGTATGCCATGACCCGCTACTAAAAAAAACTACATCTGAGAAACATGATATTTGTCCCCTCCACTTTCCCGACCCAGCCTCAAAACCACACCGTTGGGTCCTCTAGCCTGCCTTCAGTTCCTTGCTCCTAAGCGCACGGAACGCTCTCCCTAGAGATTGCCTAACTGTTTTCTTCTCGTCTTAGATAGCTTTTCACGCGAGTCGCTTAGCGTGCGTCCGTAAGGACTGAGTCGGCCACCATGGTACGCACTTATGCCAATATGCGCGCTTTATCCGCGAAGCTCTTCATTTCAGTCGCGCATGCACCGATAGTTTCCAGAAGAAGTTGGTCCTCCAGTTTGGTCGATTCCGTCGGTACTTCTTCTCACATAGTATCCTTCAGCGGCGCATGTGTCGCAATTCCGAATCGTACTCCGTCTTCTACTTTGCTTCCCCTACACCCCGCAAACCCCCACCCTCTCCCGTCCGCCCCAAACCCTTCCCCCCTCGTCATCCTCCTCCCGTGACATTGAGCGGTGCAGCCGCAGGGCGAGCACATCGAGCTTCATCAGAAGCGTCATGGCTTCCGCTTGGATCACTTCGAGCGGAAGCGCAAGCGCGAGGCTCGCCAAGTGCACAAGACGTCTCAGATCGCGAGAAACGTGAGTCAACTATGGGGATTGATTTGCTGCACTCGTCGTTTCGCAGCTGATCTTGGTAGACTAGACCCTATTCGTGGTATCTCCTGTTTTTCTCATCGTTTTCTCCTACTTGCCTTACTGGATGGAATTTCGCAGACTATCGGTCTCAAGGCGAAGATGTTCGCGAAGAAGCGTTACCAAGAAAAGGCGACGATGAAGAAGACGTGAGTTGGAGTTACCTGTCCTCATACCCTGAAGCGGTTAGACCCTGTTTGAAGCCCTCACATAAGCAGCTTCGCCTGAGTCACCTGGTGTCTCTGACTGTCGCCCATTGTTAACCCTTGTCTCGTTATCCGTACTGCCATCCACTCGCTCTCTCACTTCCACCTTTCTCCTGATACCCGAACTCTTCTCCGTTCCTCCCCTTCCCTCTCCCCCATTCCCCCTCCCCCCTCCCCCACCCCCTCCTCCACCCTTCCCGCTCCCTCTCCCCCTCCCCGCCCCGCCGTGCAGTCTGGCAATGCACGCGGAGCGGACGAACAAGCACAAGGCGGACGCGCCAGTGGCGGAGGGAGCGGTGCCGGCGTACCTGCTGGAGAGGGAGGCGACGGCGCGCGCCAAGGTGCTCAGCAACACCATCAAGCAGAAGCGCAAGGAGAAGGCCGGCAAGTGGGACGTGCCCCTGCCCAAGGTACGCCGCTGTGTTTGTTTCTCTGGCTTTATGCGTCACTGCGTTGGCTTGCATCACATGCACTCTGATGTGAATCGTTGAACAGCAGTGTGAAACATATTGTTTCTCTTCTAACATCTTCCTCCGTCCCCTTCCATTCTGTGCGCTGCAGGTTCGGCCGATTGCTGAGGATGAGATGTTCAAAGTGGTCCGATCAGGGAAGAGGAAAAGTAAGTCTGCTCGCTGTCACTTCACCCCTCGTTCGCTTTCACGTGTCTTTGAATGAAGTGCAAGTCAAACTGGTTTTACTGCATATTCTGCTCCAATTCTTTTCGAATGGTTTCTGACTCATTCCCTTCTCTGCCCTGATGTGCACCGGTACTCGTGCAGCCAAGCAGTGGAAAAGGCTAGTGACTAAAGTCACCTTTGTGGGACCGGGTTTCACTCGCAAGCCACCCAAGTATGAGCGCTTCATCCGCCCCATGGCTCTGCGCTTCACCAAGGTGCGACACCAGCTCTCTCACTCGCCCCACACACTCACTCACCCCGCACTCTCACTATCCCCGCACCCCTCTCACTCAACGCAGACTCGCCTCACCCCACCCGTGCACCCGCACACCTACCCCCTCCCGACGTTACACGCTCTCGTTTGCATCAGCTGCTGTTGTGCTACCAAGGCCCTAGTGCTCCTAGTGCACCGCTTCTAACGCGCTGCTTGCGTGCGTGCATGCAGGCGCATGTGACCCACCCAGAGCTCAAGTGCACGTTCCATCTGAACATCATCAGCGTGAAGAAGAACCCCAACGGCCCCATGTACTCGTCCATGGGGGTCATCACCAAGGGAACCATCATCGAGGTATGCACTCATACATGCATGCACGTCACATATGTACATTTGCGCACATGCCCGTATGCACACATGCATCCATGCACATATGTACATTTGCATACACACACGCACAGATGCATGCATGCATGCATGCATGCACACATGCAGCCCCTGCTATGCGGATCTTTGTGGGCAATCCTTCTCATGTGTGAGAAGGATGGCAGGAAAGGATGTCCATGGTCCCATGGTTTTTTAAATTTTGTGACTCTTGGGGGCATGTGCCAGAGCACGTCTCCACTGCCTCATCCTGGTACCCCTTCATTCCATTCATGCCTCCTGTCGTCTGCTGCTTCAGGTGAACGTGAGCGAGCTTGGGTTGGTCACACCGGCTGGCAAAGTCATTTGGGGTGAGTCTGTTTGATTAGCCCTCTGCTGTTTCCCTCCCTGTTCATGTTTCGTGCAAATCGCCTTCTCATAAGAGTTGAGCTGATTTGTGCTCATGGTGCTTGTTTGCTGTGCAGGTAAATATGCCCAAGTAACCAACAACCCAGAGAATGATGGTTGTATAAATGCAGTATTGTTGGTGTAACCGTTACAATGTACATTCTGGCGTTTAGTAGTCATCCTGCATAGATTAATCCACTCTGACACAAACCATGTCAACTGAGCTATACCAAAACTTGATAGCAACATTAGCCATGAACTAAACTCGTCACGACCCACTTATAGCGCAACGAACATGTGCTGTTTGCTTCCGAAAAGATCCGATCCGATCATGTGAGCATTTTTATGGCTCTGTCCAGAATTCGATGAAATCAGTGTTCGCGGTTCTCATGGCGGAATCAAAGCTGGCTCTGTTCTGATCCTAGAGCGACAATGGCGGCGACCCGTGCGTGAAACAGTCTAAGCGGCTTAAACTCGTCTGACCACCAATTTTTGTCACGATTGCATCGTTAGTAGCTTAGCGTCTCGCAATGGCGTGTCTCGCGTTAGCGCTGCAGCCAGCACAGGGACCAGACCTGCTGCTTCAGACGTAAGAACCCTTCATCTAGCAGCAGTGTCATTCAACAGTCCTTCCATGTCGCCGCCCGGTCATCTAGCAGACCTCTCATCGAGCAGCAGTGTCGTGTACCAGTCGTGCGATGCAACTCTCGTGTCATGTAGCACTCGTACTAACTAGCAGCAGTTTCATCAAGCAGTTGTGGCATGTAGCTATGATGCCGTCGTATGGTCGTCAATTACGGCGCGTCCAGTTGTGACCGTCTTGGCTCCCATTGATCCCCGAGTTTCTCTGGCCTCGGCATTCCCTACCCTATTGTACTCCCATCCTATCCTGTCTGTCCCATGGCTGCCCGTTAACTCGCAACCGCAAATCCCCCCCCCCTCCCCCCCAACCCGGTTTTGTCCCCATTTTGTCCCGAAACCCCCCCGAGTCCGCCTTAGCAAGGTATGGTTCCCCCCGAAGCGCGCGTTGGCGGCGTGTCAGAGCTTCCGGTCGACGCGGCACGCGGACAGCAGCGTGCGGCACCACGAGCAGCCGGCGAACCAGGCGCTCATGCTCGACCGCCTGGGCGACGACCCTCTGGCCGCCGCGAGCGGACAAGTCGTCGTCGGCAGCGACCGACGGTGCGTGTGACGGGAATCACGGGGATTTAGGACACCCGTAGTGCGTTCATTCTCGTGCACACTGCGAGGCATGGCGTGCCATCGTGAGACCAGCTGCTTGCTTTCATGCGAGGCATGGCGTGCACCTATATGCTGGACTCGCTCTCTCCCTCACCTGCTCCCGACTTCCCCCCCGCTCGCCTCCCCATCCCTGCTTCGTTTCCCCCTTCCAATCCCGCCTTGCGCAGGTACCGCGTGGTGTACAGGCTGGTGAACAGCATCTACGTGTTGGGGCTCATGCTTCCTCCCTCTCACCCACTTCCCCCTCGCTGCCTCTCTTTGTGCGCAGGTACCGTGTGGTGTACCGGCTGGTGAACAGCATATACGTGCTGGGGCTCATGCTGGCGGACGACGATGAGACGTCGCTCAACGTCTACAGCTGCATCAGCACCGTCAACCAGGCCGTCAGGTGAGTGAGAGCACCGTCAACCAGGCCGTCAGGTCAGGTCAGATGAGATAAGAGCACCGTCAACCAGGCTGCCAGGTCAGCTTTGTCTACTCGTTTGTGTCAGCTCAAGCCGTTTCTTATCAGTTGCAGCTCAGTCGTGCGAGTGTTGTGTCGTCTTTCCCCATCGTGACCTATGCCCAGTGCCTCATGGATAACCCATGCCCCCCTCCCTCACATGCGCTGTTGCCCACGTGCGTGGTGATGCAGTGTGCTGGTGGCGGCGTGCAAGGGCGTGGACGTCACACCCGAGAAGATATTCCGCAAGTACACCGAGGTCAGCTGCAATCTTGTGCGCTTTTTACCGTCCATCCACCCTGCCTTTCCCTCTCTCCGGCCTCTTTTTCACCTCTCTTGCCCCCTCATCTGGCGCGCCTCGCAGTGGTGCAGCGCTGCTCGTCCCCTTCGCCATGTTTTGAGTCATCACCCCCCTCTGTCCCCCCCTCCCCGCTGGGCCCACATCCCCTCCCCCTCCCCCTCACCCTCTCCTCTCTCCCCCAACTCTTCCCCCCCTCCCCCCCCAGGTCTACATGGCGTTCTTCTACGTGCTGCAGGGCATAGGAGCGGCGCGCCTAGCAGCGGTGCTCTCCTACGTGGCGGGCGACGGGGCAGCGCTGCTCGTGCCCCGCCATGTCTTGAACCGTCACTCCTCCTTTCCCCTCCCTTGCGCCTCCTCCCGCTCCCCTTCCCCTCCCCCTTCCCCTCCCCCTTCCCCTCCCCCTTCCTCTCCCCCCACCACCCCTCTCTCCCATTCCCCAGGTCTACATGGCGTTCTTCTACGTGCTACAGGGCATAGGAGTGGCGCGCCTCTCAGCGGTGCTCTCGTACGTGGCGGGCGACGGTGCAGCGCTGCTCGTGCCGCTCGCCACCAACACGCTCGCTGACGGGGAGAACCGCGCTCGCGGCGCTGCCAGCTGGCGCGTGGCTAAAGCCGAGGCCGTGGAGCGACTGGCGAGCGTGGAGGTGAGGGAAGGGGGGAGAAGAGGGGGAAAGGGAGTGTGGGATGCGGGGTGAGGGGGTGGGGATGTGAGAGAAGGTGAAGACTGTGTGGTGAGAGGTGAGGGACTGTTGAGGTGACGGACTGTTGAGGTGAGGGACTGTTGAGGTGAGGGACTGTTGAGGTGAGGGACTGTTGAGGTGAGGGACTGTTGAGGTGAGGGACTGTTGAGGTGAGGGACTGTTGAGGTGAGGGACTGTTGAGGTGAGGGACTGTTGAGGTGAGGGACTGTTGAGGTGAGGGACTGTTGAGGTGAGGGACTGTTGAGGTGAGGGACTGTTGAGGTGAGGGACTGTTGAGGTGAGGGACTGTTGAGGTGAGGGACTGTTGAGGTGAGGGACTGTTGAGGTGAGGGACTGTTGAGGTGAGGGACTGTTGAGGTGAGGGACTGTTGAGGTGAGGGACTGTTGAGGTGAGGGACTGTTGAGGTGAGGGACTGTTGAGGTGAGGGACTGTTGAGGTGAGGGACTGTTGAGGTGAGGGACTGTTGAGGTGAGGGACTGTTGAGGTGAGGGACTGTTGAGGTGAGGGACTGTTGAGGTGAGGGACTGTTGAGGTGAGGGACTGTTGAGGTGAGGGACTGTTGAGGTGAGGGACTGTTGAGGTGAGGGACTGTTGAGGTGAGGGACTGTTGAGGTGAGGGACTGTTGAGGTGAGGGACTGTTGAGGTGAGGGACTGTTGAGGTGAGGGACTGTTGAGGTGAGGGACTGTTGAGGTGAGGGACTGTTGAGGTGAGGGACTGTTGAGGTGAGGGACTGTTGAGGTGAGGGACTGTTGAGGTGAGGGACTGTTGAGGTGAGGGACTGTTGAGGTGAGGGACTGTTGAGGTGAGGGACTGTTGAGGTGAGGGACTGTTGAGGTGAGGGACTGTTGAGGTGAGGGACTGTTGAGGTGAGGGACTGTTGAGGTGAGGGACTGTTGAGGTGAGGGACTGTTGAGGTGAGGGACTGTTGAGGTGAGGGACTGTTGAGGTGAGGGACTGTTGAGGTGAGGGACTGTTGAGGTGAGGGACTGTTGAGGTGAGGGACTGTTGAGGTGAGGGACTGTTGAGGTGAGGGACTGTTGAGGTGAGGGACTGTTGAGGTGAGGGACTGTTGAGGTGAGGGACTGTTGAGGTGAGGGACTGTTGAGGTGAGGGACTGTTGAGGTGAGGGACTGTTGAGGTGAGGGACTGTTGAGGTGAGGGACTGTTGAGGTGAGGGACTGTTGAGGTGAGGGACTGTTGAGGTGAGGGACTGTTGAGGTGAGGGACTGTTGAGGTGAGGGACTGTTGAGGTGAGGGACTGTTGAGGTGAGGGACTGTTGAGGTGAGGGACTGTTGAGGTGAGGGACTGTTGAGGTGAGGGACTGTTGAGGTGAGGGACTGTTGAGGTGAGGGACTGTTGAGGTGAGGGACTGTTGAGGTGAGGGACTGTTGAGGTGAGGGACTGTTGAGGTGAGGGACTGTTGAGGTGAGGGACTGTTGAGGTGAGGGACTGTTGAGGTGAGGGACTGTTGAGGTGAGGGACTGTTGAGGTGAGGGACTGTTGAGGTGAGGGACTGTTGAGGTGAGGGACTGTTGAGGTGAGGGACTGTTGAGGTGAGGGACTGTTGAGGTGAGGGACTGTTGAGGTGAGGGACTGTTGAGGTGAGGGACTGTTGAGGTGAGGGACTGTTGAGGTGAGGGACTGTTGAGGTGAGGGACTGTTGAGGTGAGGGACTGTTGAGGTGAGGGACTGTTGAGGTGAGGGACTGTTGAGGTGAGGGACTGTTGAGGTGAGGGACTGTTGAGGTGAGGGACTGTTGAGGTGAGGGACTGTTGAGGTGAGGGACTGTTGAGGTGAGGGACTGTTGAGGTGAGGGACTGTTGAGGTGAGGGACTGTTGAGGTGAGGGACTGTTGAGGTGAGGGACTGTTGAGGTGAGGGACTGTTGAGGTGAGGGACTGTTGAGGTGAGGGACTGTTGAGGTGAGGGACTGTTGAGGTGAGGGACTGTTGAGGTGAGGGACTGTTGAGGTGAGGGACTGTTGAGGTGAGGGACTGTTGAGGTGAGGGACTGTTGAGGTGAGGGACTGTTGAGGTGAGGGACTGTTGAGGTGAGGGACTGTTGAGGTGAGGGACTGTTGAGGTGAGGGACTGTTGAGGTGAGGGACTGTTGAGGTGAGGGACTGTTGAGGTGAGGGACTGTTGAGGTGAGGGACTGTTGAGGTGAGGGACTGTTGAGGTGAGGGACTGTTGAGGTGAGGGACTGTTGAGGTGAGGGACTGTTGAGGTGAGGGACTGTTGAGGTGAGGGACTGTTGAGGTGAGGGACTGTTGAGGTGAGGGACTGTTGAGGTGAGGGACTGTTGAGGTGAGGGACTGTTGAGGTGAGGGACTGTTGAGGTGAGGGACTGTTGAGGTGAGGGACTGTTGAGGTGAGGGACTGTTGAGGTGAGGGACTGTTGAGGTGAGGGACTGTTGAGGTGAGGGACTGTTGAGGTGAGGGACTGTTGAGGTGAGGGACTGTTGAGGTGAGGGACTGTTGAGGTGAGGGACTGTTGAGGTGAGGGACTGTTGAGGTGAGGGACTGTTGAGGTGAGGGACTGTTGAGGTGAGGGACTGTTGAGGTGAGGGACTGTTGAGGTGAGGGACTGTTGAGGTGAGGGACTGTTGAGGTGAGGGACTGTTGAGGTGAGGGACTGTTGAGGTGAGGGACTGTTGAGGTGAGGGACTGTTGAGGTGAGGGACTGTTGAGGTGAGGGACTGTTGAGGTGAGGGACTGTTGAGGTGAGGGACTGTTGAGGTGAGGGACTGTTGAGGTGAGGGACTGTTGAGGTGAGGGACTGTTGAGGTGAGGGACTGTTGAGGTGAGGGACTGTTGAGGTGAGGGACTGTTGAGGTGAGGGACTGTTGAGGTGAGGGACTGTTGAGGTGAGGGACTGTTGAGGTGAGGGACTGTTGAGGTGAGGGACTGTTGAGGTGAGGGACTGTTGAGGTGAGGGACTGTTGAGGTGAGGGACTGTTGAGGTGAGGGACTGTTGAGGTGAGGGACTGTTGAGGTGAGGGACTGTTGAGGTGAGGGACTGTTGAGGTGAGGGACTGTTGAGGTGAGGGACTGTTGAGGTGAGGGACTGTTGAGGTGAGGGACTGTTGAGGTGAGGGACTGTTGAGGTGAGGGACTGTTGAGGTGAGGGACTGTTGAGGTGAGGGACTGTTGAGGTGAGGGACTGTTGAGGTGAGGGACTGTTGAGGTGAGGGACTGTTGAGGTGAGGGACTGTTGAGGTGAGGGACTGTTGAGGTGAGGGACTGTTGAGGTGAGGGACTGTTGAGGTGAGGGACTGTTGAGGTGAGGGACTGTTGAGGTGAGGGACTGTTGAGGTGAGGGACTGTTGAGGTGAGGGACTGTTGAGGTGAGGGACTGTTGAGGTGAGGGACTGTTGAGGTGAGGGACTGTTGAGGTGAGGGACTGTTGAGGTGAGGGACTGTTGAGGTGAGGGACTGTTGAGGTGAGGGACTGTTGAGGTGAGGGACTGTTGAGGTGAGGGACTGTTGAGGTGAGGGACTGTTGAGGTGAGGGACTGTTGAGGTGAGGGACTGTTGAGGTGAGGGACTGTTGAGGTGAGGGACTGTTGAGGTGAGGGACTGTTGAGGTGAGGGACTGTTGAGGTGAGGGACTGTTGAGGTGAGGGACTGTTGAGGTGAGGGACTGTTGAGGTGAGGGACTGTTGAGGTGAGGGACTGTTGAGGTGAGGGACTGTTGAGGTGAGGGACTGTTGAGGTGAGGGACTGTTGAGGTGAGGGACTGTTGAGGTGAGGGACTGTTGAGGTGAGGGACTGTTGAGGTGAGGGACTGTTGAGGTGAGGGACTGTTGAGGTGAGGGACTGTTGAGGTGAGGGACTGTTGAGGTGAGGGACTGTTGAGGTGAGGGACTGTTGAGGTGAGGGACTGTTGAGGTGAGGGACTGTTGAGGTGAGGGACTGTTGAGGTGAGGGACTGTTGAGGTGAGGGACTGTTGAGGTGAGGGACTGTTGAGGTGAGGGACTGTTGAGGTGAGGGACTGTTGAGGTGAGGGACTGTTGAGGTGAGGGACTGTTGAGGTGAGGGACTGTTGAGGTGAGGGACTGTTGAGGTGAGGGACTGTTGAGGTGAGGGACTGTTGAGGTGAGGGACTGTTGAGGTGAGGGACTGTTGAGGTGAGGGACTGTTGAGGTGAGGGACTGTTGAGGTGAGGGACTGTTGAGGTGAGGGACTGTTGAGGTGAGGGACTGTTGAGGTGAGGGACTGTTGAGGTGAGGGACTGTTGAGGTGAGGGACTGTTGAGGTGAGGGACTGTTGAGGTGAGGGACTGTTGAGGTGAGGGACTGTTGAGGTGAGGGACTGTTGAGGTGAGGGACTGTTGAGGTGAGGGACTGTTGAGGTGAGGGACTGTTGAGGTGAGGGACTGTTGAGGTGAGGGACTGTTGAGGTGAGGGACTGTTGAGGTGAGGGACTGTTGAGGTGAGGGACTGTTGAGGTGAGGGACTGTTGAGGTGAGGGACTGTTGAGGTGAGGGACTGTTGAGGTGAGGGACTGTTGAGGTGAGGGACTGTTGAGGTGAGGGACTGTTGAGGTGAGGGACTGTTGAGGTGAGGGACTGTTGAGGTGAGGGACTGTTGAGGTGAGGGACTGTTGAGGTGAGGGACTGTTGAGGTGAGGGACTGTTGAGGTGAGGGACTGTTGAGGTGAGGGACTGTTGAGGTGAGGGACTGTTGAGGTGAGGGACTGTTGAGGTGAGGGACTGTTGAGGTGAGGGACTGTTGAGGTGAGGGACTGTTGAGGTGAGGGACTGTTGAGGTGAGGGACTGTTGAGGTGAGGGACTGTTGAGGTGAGGGACTGTTGAGGTGAGGGACTGTTGAGGTGAGGGACTGTTGAGGTGAGGGACTGTTGAGGTGAGGGACTGTTGAGGTGAGGGACTGTTGAGGTGAGGGACTGTTGAGGTGAGGGACTGTTGAGGTGAGGGACTGTTGAGGTGAGGGACTGTTGAGGTGAGGGACTGTTGAGGTGAGGGACTGTTGAGGTGAGGGACTGTTGAGGTGAGGGACTGTTGAGGTGAGGGACTGTTGAGGTGAGGGACTGTTGAGGTGAGGGACTGTTGAGGTGAGGGACTGTTGAGGTGAGGGACTGTTGAGGTGAGGGACTGTTGAGGTGAGGGACTGTTGAGGTGAGGGACTGTTGAGGTGAGGGACTGTTGAGGTGAGGGACTGTTGAGGTGAGGGACTGTTGAGGTGAGGGACTGTTGAGGTGAGGGACTGTTGAGGTGAGGGACTGTTGAGGTGAGGGACTGTTGAGGTGAGGGACTGTTGAGGTGAGGGACTGTTGAGGTGAGGGACTGTTGAGGTGAGGGACTGTTGAGGTGAGGGACTGTTGAGGTGAGGGACTGTTGAGGTGAGGGACTGTTGAGGTGAGGGACTGTTGAGGTGAGGGACTGTTGAGGTGAGGGACTGTTGAGGTGAGGGACTGTTGAGGTGAGGGACTGTTGAGGTGAGGGACTGTTGAGGTGAGGGACTGTTGAGGTGAGGGACTGTTGAGGTGAGGGACTGTTGAGGTGAGGGACTGTTGAGGTGAGGGACTGTTGAGGTGAGGGACTGTTGAGGTGAGGGACTGTTGAGGTGAGGGACTGTTGAGGTGAGGGACTGTTGAGGTGAGGGACTGTTGAGGTGAGGGACTGTTGAGGTGAGGGACTGTTGAGGTGAGGGACTGTTGAGGTGAGGGACTGTTGAGGTGAGGGACTGTTGAGGTGAGGGACTGTTGAGGTGAGGGACTGTTGAGGTGAGGGACTGTTGAGGTGAGGGACTGTTGAGGTGAGGGACTGTTGAGGTGAGGGACTGTTGAGGTGAGGGACTGTTGAGGTGAGGGACTGTTGAGGTGAGGGACTGTTGAGGTGAGGGACTGTTGAGGTGAGGGACTGTTGAGGTGAGGGACTGTTGAGGTGAGGGACTGTTGAGGTGAGGGACTGTTGAGGTGAGGGACTGTTGAGGTGAGGGACTGTTGAGGTGAGGGACTGTTGAGGTGAGGGACTGTTGAGGTGAGGGACTGTTGAGGTGAGGGACTGTTGAGGTGAGGGACTGTTGAGGTGAGGGACTGTTGAGGTGAGGGACTGTTGAGGTGAGGGACTGTTGAGGTGAGGGACTGTTGAGGTGAGGGACTGTTGAGGTGAGGGACTGTTGAGGTGAGGGACTGTTGAGGTGAGGGACTGTTGAGGTGAGGGACTGTTGAGGTGAGGGACTGTTGAGGTGAGGGACTGTTGAGGTGAGGGACTGTTGAGGTGAGGGACTGTTGAGGTGAGGGACTGTTGAGGTGAGGGACTGTTGAGGTGAGGGACTGTTGAGGTGAGGGACTGTTGAGGTGAGGGACTGTTGAGGTGAGGGACTGTTGAGGTGAGGGACTGTTGAGGTGAGGGACTGTTGAGGTGAGGGACTGTTGAGGTGAGGGACTGTTGAGGTGAGGGACTGTTGAGGTGAGGGACTGTTGAGGTGAGGGACTGTTGAGGTGAGGGACTGTTGAGGTGAGGGACTGTTGAGGTGAGGGACTGTTGAGGTGAGGGACTGTTGAGGTGAGGGACTGTTGAGGTGAGGGACTGTTGAGGTGAGGGACTGTTGAGGTGAGGGACTGTTGAGGTGAGGGACTGTTGAGGTGAGGGACTGTTGAGGTGAGGGACTGTTGAGGTGAGGGACTGTTGAGGTGAGGGACTGTTGAGGTGAGGGACTGTTGAGGTGAGGGACTGTTGAGGTGAGGGACTGTTGAGGTGAGGGACTGTTGAGGTGAGGGACTGTTGAGGTGAGGGACTGTTGAGGTGAGGGACTGTTGAGGTGAGGGACTGTTGAGGTGAGGGACTGTTGAGGTGAGGGACTGTTGAGGTGAGGGACTGTTGAGGTGAGGGACTGTTGAGGTGAGGGACTGTTGAGGTGAGGGACTGTTGAGGTGAGGGACTGTTGAGGTGAGGGACTGTTGAGGTGAGGGACTGTTGAGGTGAGGGACTGTTGAGGTGAGGGACTGTTGAGGTGAGGGACTGTTGAGGTGAGGGACTGTTGAGGTGAGGGACTGTTGAGGTGAGGGACTGTTGAGGTGAGGGACTGTTGAGGTGAGGGACTGTTGAGGTGAGGGACTGTTGAGGTGAGGGACTGTTGAGGTGAGGGACTGTTGAGGTGAGGGACTGTTGAGGTGAGGGACTGTTGAGGTGAGGGACTGTTGAGGTGAGGGACTGTTGAGGTGAGGGACTGTTGAGGTGAGGGACTGTTGAGGTGAGGGACTGTTGAGGTGAGGGACTGTTGAGGTGAGGGACTGTTGAGGTGAGGGACTGTTGAGGTGAGGGACTGTTGAGGTGAGGGACTGTTGAGGTGAGGGACTGTTGAGGTGAGGGACTGTTGAGGTGAGGGACTGTTGAGGTGAGGGACTGTTGAGGTGAGGGACTGTTGAGGTGAGGGACTGTTGAGGTGAGGGACTGTTGAGGTGAGGGACTGTTGAGGTGAGGGACTGTTGAGGTGAGGGACTGTTGAGGTGAGGGACTGTTGAGGTGAGGGACTGTTGAGGTGAGGGACTGTTGAGGTGAGGGACTGTTGAGGTGAGGGACTGTTGAGGTGAGGGACTGTTGAGGTGAGGGACTGTTGAGGTGAGGGACTGTTGAGGTGAGGGACTGTTGAGGTGAGGGACTGTTGAGGTGAGGGACTGTTGAGGTGAGGGACTGTTGAGGTGAGGGACTGTTGAGGTGAGGGACTGTTGAGGTGAGGGACTGTTGAGGTGAGGGACTGTTGAGGTGAGGGACTGTTGAGGTGAGGGACTGTTGAGGTGAGGGACTGTTGAGGTGAGGGACTGTTGAGGTGAGGGACTGTTGAGGTGAGGGACTGTTGAGGTGAGGGACTGTTGAGGTGAGGGACTGTTGAGGTGAGGGACTGTTGAGGTGAGGGACTGTTGAGGTGAGGGACTGTTGAGGTGAGGGACTGTTGAGGTGAGGGACTGTTGAGGTGAGGGACTGTTGAGGTGAGGGACTGTTGAGGTGAGGGACTGTTGAGGTGAGGGACTGTTGAGGTGAGGGACTGTTGAGGTGAGGGACTGTTGAGGTGAGGGACTGTTGAGGTGAGGGACTGTTGAGGTGAGGGACTGTTGAGGTGAGGGACTGTTGAGGTGAGGGACTGTTGAGGTGAGGGACTGTTGAGGTGAGGGACTGTTGAGGTGAGGGACTGTTGAGGTGAGGGACTGTTGAGGTGAGGGACTGTTGAGGTGAGGGACTGTTGAGGTGAGGGACTGTTGAGGTGAGGGACTGTTGAGGTGAGGGACTGTTGAGGTGAGGGACTGTTGAGGTGAGGGACTGTTGAGGTGAGGGACTGTTGAGGTGAGGGACTGTTGAGGTGAGGGACTGTTGAGGTGAGGGACTGTTGAGGTGAGGGACTGTTGAGGTGAGGGACTGTTGAGGTGAGGGACTGTTGAGGTGAGGGACTGTTGAGGTGAGGGACTGTTGAGGTGAGGGACTGTTGAGGTGAGGGACTGTTGAGGTGAGGGACTGTTGAGGTGAGGGACTGTTGAGGTGAGGGACTGTTGAGGTGAGGGACTGTTGAGGTGAGGGACTGTTGAGGTGAGGGACTGTTGAGGTGAGGGACTGTTGAGGTGAGGGACTGTTGAGGTGAGGGACTGTTGAGGTGAGGGACTGTTGAGGTGAGGGACTGTTGAGGTGAGGGACTGTTGAGGTGAGGGACTGTTGAGGTGAGGGACTGTTGAGGTGAGGGACTGTTGAGGTGAGGGACTGTTGAGGTGAGGGACTGTTGAGGTGAGGGACTGTTGAGGTGAGGGACTGTTGAGGTGAGGGACTGTTGAGGTGAGGGACTGTTGAGGTGAGGGACTGTTGAGGTGAGGGACTGTTGAGGTGAGGGACTGTTGAGGTGAGGGACTGTTGAGGTGAGGGACTGTTGAGGTGAGGGACTGTTGAGGTGAGGGACTGTTGAGGTGAGGGACTGTTGAGGTGAGGGACTGTTGAGGTGAGGGACTGTTGAGGTGAGGGACTGTTGAGGTGAGGGACTGTTGAGGTGAGGGACTGTTGAGGTGAGGGACTGTTGAGGTGAGGGACTGTTGAGGTGAGGGACTGTTGAGGTGAGGGACTGTTGAGGTGAGGGACTGTTGAGGTGAGGGACTGTTGAGGTGAGGGACTGTTGAGGTGAGGGACTGTTGAGGTGAGGGACTGTTGAGGTGAGGGACTGTTGAGGTGAGGGACTGTTGAGGTGAGGGACTGTTGAGGTGAGGGACTGTTGAGGTGAGGGACTGTTGAGGTGAGGGACTGTTGAGGTGAGGGACTGTTGAGGTGAGGGACTGTTGAGGTGAGGGACTGTTGAGGTGAGGGACTGTTGAGGTGAGGGACTGTTGAGGTGAGGGACTGTTGAGGTGAGGGACTGTTGAGGTGAGGGACTGTTGAGGTGAGGGACTGTTGAGGTGAGGGACTGTTGAGGTGAGGGACTGTTGAGGTGAGGGACTGTTGAGGTGAGGGACTGTTGAGGTGAGGGACTGTTGAGGTGAGGGACTGTTGAGGTGAGGGACTGTTGAGGTGAGGGACTGTTGAGGTGAGGGACTGTTGAGGTGAGGGACTGTTGAGGTGAGGGACTGTTGAGGTGAGGGACTGTTGAGGTGAGGGACTGTTGAGGTGAGGGACTGTTGAGGTGAGGGACTGTTGAGGTGAGGGACTGTTGAGGTGAGGGACTGTTGAGGTGAGGGACTGTTGAGGTGAGGGACTGTTGAGGTGAGGGACTGTTGAGGTGAGGGACTGTTGAGGTGAGGGACTGTTGAGGTGAGGGACTGTTGAGGTGAGGGACTGTTGAGGTGAGGGACTGTTGAGGTGAGGGACTGTTGAGGTGAGGGACTGTTGAGGTGAGGGACTGTTGAGGTGAGGGACTGTTGAGGTGAGGGACTGTTGAGGTGAGGGACTGTTGAGGTGAGGGACTGTTGAGGTGAGGGACTGTTGAGGTGAGGGACTGTTGAGGTGAGGGACTGTTGAGGTGAGGGACTGTTGAGGTGAGGGACTGTTGAGGTGAGGGACTGTTGAGGTGAGGGACTGTTGAGGTGAGGGACTGTTGAGGTGAGGGACTGTTGAGGTGAGGGACTGTTGAGGTGAGGGACTGTTGAGGTGAGGGACTGTTGAGGTGAGGGACTGTTGAGGTGAGGGACTGTTGAGGTGAGGGACTGTTGAGGTGAGGGACTGTTGAGGTGAGGGACTGTTGAGGTGAGGGACTGTTGAGGTGAGGGACTGTTGAGGTGAGGGACTGTTGAGGTGAGGGACTGTTGAGGTGAGGGACTGTTGAGGTGAGGGACTGTTGAGGTGAGGGACTGTTGAGGTGAGGGACTGTTGAGGTGAGGGACTGTTGAGGTGAGGGACTGTTGAGGTGAGGGACTGTTGAGGTGAGGGACTGTTGAGGTGAGGGACTGTTGAGGTGAGGGACTGTTGAGGTGAGGGACTGTTGAGGTGAGGGACTGTTGAGGTGAGGGACTGTTGAGGTGAGGGACTGTTGAGGTGAGGGACTGTTGAGGTGAGGGACTGTTGAGGTGAGGGACTGTTGAGGTGAGGGACTGTTGAGGTGAGGGACTGTTGAGGTGAGGGACTGTTGAGGTGAGGGACTGTTGAGGTGAGGGACTGTTGAGGTGAGGGACTGTTGAGGTGAGGGACTGTTGAGGTGAGGGACTGTTGAGGTGAGGGACTGTTGAGGTGAGGGACTGTTGAGGTGAGGGACTGTTGAGGTGAGGGACTGTTGAGGTGAGGGACTGTTGAGGTGAGGGACTGTTGAGGTGAGGGACTGTTGAGGTGAGGGACTGTTGAGGTGAGGGACTGTTGAGGTGAGGGACTGTTGAGGTGAGGGACTGTTGAGGTGAGGGACTGTTGAGGTGAGGGACTGTTGAGGTGAGGGACTGTTGAGGTGAGGGACTGTTGAGGTGAGGGACTGTTGAGGTGAGGGACTGTTGAGGTGAGGGACTGTTGAGGTGAGGGACTGTTGAGGTGAGGGACTGTTGAGGTGAGGGACTGTTGAGGTGAGGGACTGTTGAGGTGAGGGACTGTTGAGGTGAGGGACTGTTGAGGTGAGGGACTGTTGAGGTGAGGGACTGTTGAGGTGAGGGACTGTTGAGGTGAGGGACTGTTGAGGTGAGGGACTGTTGAGGTGAGGGACTGTTGAGGTGAGGGACTGTTGAGGTGAGGGACTGTTGAGGTGAGGGACTGTTGAGGTGAGGGACTGTTGAGGTGAGGGACTGTTGAGGTGAGGGACTGTTGAGGTGAGGGACTGTTGAGGTGAGGGACTGTTGAGGTGAGGGACTGTTGAGGTGAGGGACTGTTGAGGTGAGGGACTGTTGAGGTGAGGGACTGTTGAGGTGAGGGACTGTTGAGGTGAGGGACTGTTGAGGTGAGGGACTGTTGAGGTGAGGGACTGTTGAGGTGAGGGACTGTTGAGGTGAGGGACTGTTGAGGTGAGGGACTGTTGAGGTGAGGGACTGTTGAGGTGAGGGACTGTTGAGGTGAGGGACTGTTGAGGTGAGGGACTGTTGAGGTGAGGGACTGTTGAGGTGAGGGACTGTTGAGGTGAGGGACTGTTGAGGTGAGGGACTGTTGAGGTGAGGGACTGTTGAGGTGAGGGACTGTTGAGGTGAGGGACTGTTGAGGTGAGGGACTGTTGAGGTGAGGGACTGTTGAGGTGAGGGACTGTTGAGGTGAGGGACTGTTGAGGTGAGGGACTGTTGAGGTGAGGGACTGTTGAGGTGAGGGACTGTTGAGGTGAGGGACTGTTGAGGTGAGGGACTGTTGAGGTGAGGGACTGTTGAGGTGAGGGACTGTTGAGGTGAGGGACTGTTGAGGTGAGGGACTGTTGAGGTGAGGGACTGTTGAGGTGAGGGACTGTTGAGGTGAGGGACTGTTGAGGTGAGGGACTGTTGAGGTGAGGGACTGTTGAGGTGAGGGACTGTTGAGGTGAGGGACTGTTGAGGTGAGGGACTGTTGAGGTGAGGGACTGTTGAGGTGAGGGACTGTTGAGGTGAGGGACTGTTGAGGTGAGGGACTGTTGAGGTGAGGGACTGTTGAGGTGAGGGACTGTTGAGGTGAGGGACTGTTGAGGTGAGGGACTGTTGAGGTGAGGGACTGTTGAGGTGAGGGACTGTTGAGGTGAGGGACTGTTGAGGTGAGGGACTGTTGAGGTGAGGGACTGTTGAGGTGAGGGACTGTTGAGGTGAGGGACTGTTGAGGTGAGGGACTGTTGAGGTGAGGGACTGTTGAGGTGAGGGACTGTTGAGGTGAGGGACTGTTGAGGTGAGGGACTGTTGAGGTGAGGGACTGTTGAGGTGAGGGACTGTTGAGGTGAGGGACTGTTGAGGTGAGGGACTGTTGAGGTGAGGGACTGTTGAGGTGAGGGACTGTTGAGGTGAGGGACTGTTGAGGTGAGGGACTGTTGAGGTGAGGGACTGTTGAGGTGAGGGACTGTTGAGGTGAGGGACTGTTGAGGTGAGGGACTGTTGAGGTGAGGGACTGTTGAGGTGAGGGACTGTTGAGGTGAGGGACTGTTGAGGTGAGGGACTGTTGAGGTGAGGGACTGTTGAGGTGAGGGACTGTTGAGGTGAGGGACTGTTGAGGTGAGGGACTGTTGAGGTGAGGGACTGTTGAGGTGAGGGACTGTTGAGGTGAGGGACTGTTGAGGTGAGGGACTGTTGAGGTGAGGGACTGTTGAGGTGAGGGACTGTTGAGGTGAGGGACTGTTGAGGTGAGGGACTGTTGAGGTGAGGGACTGTTGAGGTGAGGGACTGTTGAGGTGAGGGACTGTTGAGGTGAGGGACTGTTGAGGTGAGGGACTGTTGAGGTGAGGGACTGTTGAGGTGAGGGACTGTTGAGGTGAGGGACTGTTGAGGTGAGGGACTGTTGAGGTGAGGGACTGTTGAGGTGAGGGACTGTTGAGGTGAGGGACTGTTGAGGTGAGGGACTGTTGAGGTGAGGGACTGTTGAGGTGAGGGACTGTTGAGGTGAGGGACTGTTGAGGTGAGGGACTGTTGAGGTGAGGGACTGTTGAGGTGAGGGACTGTTGAGGTGAGGGACTGTTGAGGTGAGGGACTGTTGAGGTGAGGGACTGTTGAGGTGAGGGACTGTTGAGGTGAGGGACTGTTGAGGTGAGGGACTGTTGAGGTGAGGGACTGTTGAGGTGAGGGACTGTTGAGGTGAGGGACTGTTGAGGTGAGGGACTGTTGAGGTGAGGGACTGTTGAGGTGAGGGACTGTTGAGGTGAGGGACTGTTGAGGTGAGGGACTGTTGAGGTGAGGGACTGTTGAGGTGAGGGACTGTTGAGGTGAGGGACTGTTGAGGTGAGGGACTGTTGAGGTGAGGGACTGTTGAGGTGAGGGACTGTTGAGGTGAGGGACTGTTGAGGTGAGGGACTGTTGAGGTGAGGGACTGTTGAGGTGAGGGACTGTTGAGGTGAGGGACTGTTGAGGTGAGGGACTGTTGAGGTGAGGGACTGTTGAGGTGAGGGACTGTTGAGGTGAGGGACTGTTGAGGTGAGGGACTGTTGAGGTGAGGGACTGTTGAGGTGAGGGACTGTTGAGGTGAGGGACTGTTGAGGTGAGGGACTGTTGAGGTGAGGGACTGTTGAGGTGAGGGACTGTTGAGGTGAGGGACTGTTGAGGTGAGGGACTGTTGAGGTGAGGGACTGTTGAGGTGAGGGACTGTTGAGGTGAGGGACTGTTGAGGTGAGGGACTGTTGAGGTGAGGGACTGTTGAGGTGAGGGACTGTTGAGGTGAGGGACTGTTGAGGTGAGGGACTGTTGAGGTGAGGGACTGTTGAGGTGAGGGACTGTTGAGGTGAGGGACTGTTGAGGTGAGGGACTGTTGAGGTGAGGGACTGTTGAGGTGAGGGACTGTTGAGGTGAGGGACTGTTGAGGTGAGGGACTGTTGAGGTGAGGGACTGTTGAGGTGAGGGACTGTTGAGGTGAGGGACTGTTGAGGTGAGGGACTGTTGAGGTGAGGGACTGTTGAGGTGAGGGACTGTTGAGGTGAGGGACTGTTGAGGTGAGGGACTGTTGAGGTGAGGGACTGTTGAGGTGAGGGACTGTTGAGGTGAGGGACTGTTGAGGTGAGGGACTGTTGAGGTGAGGGACTGTTGAGGTGAGGGACTGTTGAGGTGAGGGACTGTTGAGGTGAGGGACTGTTGAGGTGAGGGACTGTTGAGGTGAGGGAGGTGAGGGACTTTTGAGGTGAGGGACTGTTGAGGTGAGGGACTGTTGAGGTGAGGGACTGTTGAGGTGAGGGACATTTTGAGGTCCCAACCCATCACCTGCTATAATTCCTTCAGTCCCTACGTTTTCTCTTCCTCCCCCTCACAGTACATGTCATCGGCGCACTTCGAGCTACCAGAGGAGGCCATAGCAGCGGGAGACGAGACAATGGAGGCCTTCGCCCCGGCGCCCTCGCAGCCGGCCTTCGAGGCCCCCCCCCGCCCCCCACGCCCTCCGCGCGCCCCTCTGCTGCCTCGGACCCACTGGCAGCGCTGGCGCTGCTGGGATCCGCGGATGACCCCTTTGCCGCCAGTGACTCCCTCCTGGGGGGCGGGGGGGGCGAGCTCGCGCTGCTGGACGCGGGTCCTGGGGGGGCGGGGGGGGTGGGGGATGTGGCGGCAGCGGGGGGTGGAGCGGGGAAGAGGCCGGAGAACGACCCTGCATCACTGCTTGCGGAGCTCGAGGTGAGAACGATCTTCAGGCGCTTTCTGTCTTTCTCTGCCTGCTTCTTGCTTCTCCTTCCCTTCCTCCCACCCGCCCACTGCTTTCTGGCTGCCTTGGCCTGCTCACTTCTCCTGTCCTATTCAACCTCCCACTTCCCCTGCTAGCCCTCTTTCCTCCCCTCTCCCAACCGTCTCGTTCCTCATCCCCCTCCTTCCACCCAACCTCCCCCCCCCCCCCCTTTACCCTCCCCCACCCCCCCTCTTCCCCTCCCCTCTCTCCCCCCCAGGCGGGGCTGTCCTCCGCGCCCCCCCCCTCCGCCCTGGACCCATTCGCGTCAGACAGCATGGCGGAGGCCTTTGGGGCGGATCTAGAGGCGGAGGGGCTGGGGGGGCTGGCAGCGCTGGGGGACGACGAGGGGGACGACGCCTGGGGGACGGCCTTCGGGGGGAGTGCGCTGCTGGGGGGGGATGGGGACGCGTGGGGGGGAGGGCTGGACGCGGCGGAGTTTGGGGTGGAGCAGGGGGAGGAGGATGCGTTTGGGCTGGGGGGTGGGGGGGACCTGGGTGCGGCGCTGGGGGGAGGCGAGGGGGCGGCGGGGGGGTCTGCGGTGGTGGCTGCACGGCAGCTGGAGGTGGCACTTGGGCTGGGCTCCATGGATGGTGAGTAGTGCGGAGCGCTGCGCAGTGTGCACCACGCACTGTGCGCTGAGCAATCCTCTAGTGGCAGTCACTGAGTAGTTGCTCTCTTCTGTTTTGCCTCTAGGCCATCCCTTCCTCCTTCCCTCCCTCCCTCCCTCTCTCCTTCCCTCCCCCCTGCTTTTGTTGTATATTCTTGCCCATCTGCCTCTGGTGCGTATAGAAATGTACTCGCACACACATGCTGCCCGTACCTTCCACCGCCGCACCTACCAGTGCCAGCACCAGCAGCAGTGACCCCATCAGCAGGAGTGGCTCCTCCCTGGTCACCACTCACTCTCACATGTCGCATCCAACCCTTTGTGCCGTTTCTCCTCCTCGCCCCAATCCCTATTTGTATGCATACTCCCTTTCTGTTTCCTCCCTCTACCCCTCCCTCCCTCGCAGTGTCAACCCCAGCAGCAGTCACCCCACCAGCAGCGACAACACCATTCACACCAGCAGGCCCCTCACAGCCCACGTTCCGAGTGGAGGAGCGCATCAGTGCCGACTTCCTCGGTGCCTCGCTCACGCGAGTGCGCCTCTCCGGAACCGTCTTCCTCACTCTCCCGCTGCCCAAGGCCCCTCCGCTTGCTGCAGGGGGGCCGATGGGGGTGTGCGGTGGCGCTATTGGTGGGGGAGGCGGGGGGGGCGAGGGGGGCGGGGGTGGGTGGGGGGGCGGAGAAGGATGCGAGTGTGCCGGACGAGTTCTCATTCCGATTGGAGGGGTCTGGCGCCATTAAGGTAAGTGCCCTGCTGTGCTCTCTTCTTTTCTCTATCTGCTCCGTTCCGCTCTGCTCTGCTCCACATGGGCCCTCGCCTCTCCTCTCCTCCCCCACTGCATGCACATGTTCACCCACACGCTCACTGCATGCACTGCCATCCACACGCCCCTCCTTTTTTTTCCCTTCCCCGTTGCTTCGTTGCCTTCCCCGTTGCACCTCCCTTTTGTGGCCTACCAACCAACACTTCAGCTGTCCCTGTTCCTTTCTCCCTCTCACTCCTCCCCCCCCCCCTCCTCCCCCCAGCGCTGCACCATGCGTCCAGGCATAGTGAGCGACCTGGGAAGGGCTACTTCCACTTCCGCATGCCTCCCCCCGGCACCACCTTCCCCCCGCTCTCCGCCCCCTCTGCTGTCGCAGCCTTCCCCCAGGCTCCCCCCATGGCGGACCTGCTGGGGGAGGGGGACGAGGGCATGGGGGAGGTGGTGAACCCGGGGGAAGGGGGGGAGGGGGGGGGGGGGGCGGATGGGCGGGCGCAGGAGTTTGTGCTGATGAAGTATCGGCTGCAGCCCCGATACACGCCCATTCCACTGCGACTCAGGTAAGTGCGAGGCTGGCGTGGGGACGAGAGGGGGAGGGGGCGGTGAGGGTGGTGGGGGCGGATGGGCGGGTGGATGGGCGGGCACAGGAGTTTGTGCTGATGAAGTATCGCCTGCAGCCGCGATACACACCCATTCCACTGCGCCTCAGGTGCGTGCCAGGCGAGCGTGGGGACGAGAGGGAGAGGGGGTGGATGGGCGGCGCAGGAGTTTGTGCTGATGAAGTATCGACTACAGCCCCGGTACACGCCCATTCCACTGCGACTCAGGTGCGTCACAGGATAGCGTTGTTCCAGCATAGTTGTGCAACTTTCGGGTAGAACCCAAGCAAAGCTGGGATTCAGAATGCATACTTTTTGCTCATACAGCTCTGAGCTTGCGGTGGGTACACTCAGGTCACTGGTTCAGGCTTCTGGCTGCATGGTGTTCCAGTCCAGTGCACAGGCAAAGCCTGCGGAACGTGGCTCAGGAAGCATGATAGCTGCGCTTACAGATGTGAGCTTGGTTTGGTTGGGATCAGAGCTGGCTGAGACTCGGGTGGGGGCCTCTGGTTGGACCAACTGTGCAGTCCCTTCGGCCCTCCATGCTCAGTGTTTCTCCGTTTGTCGTTTTCCTGTGCTCTGTCTGCCATCGCTGTCTGTCAGGTTTGTCACAAGGAGGAGTGATGAAGCGCTCTCACTCATGATCCAGGTTCGTGCCTCACCTCTTTACTTATTGCAGCATCCCGTCCCTCTTAACCCCAGTCGAGTTGTGCTCCGCGTATCATTTGCACATGGCACATGGGACATCTCTCTCACTCCCAGCATTGTATTCCTCTCATCCAAACACATGCCCCGCCTGTAAGTGATGTGCATGTGTATGCTCAATCCATGCATTCCGTCCGCCTACACACAACCCCCCACCCCAGTACGTGGCGAACCCGTATCTGCAAGCGCCGCTGCTGAACGTCACCTTCATCCTCTCCCTCGCCTTCTCCCCGGCCTCCCTCCGTCTCAACCCAGAGTAAGCTCCTCCCCTCCTAGAAGCCTTCTCATAATCCTGGCCGCTGGATTCTCCTTGTTGAAATTTTGCTCCTACGTGCTGTCTTTCTCTCGTTTGCCTGATTCATCCCTGCAGAATGGCCAAACCAATCTCTGTCTGCCCTTCCTTTCCTATCGTTCTTTCTCCTTGCACTGTGATCCCTGAATTCCTGGCAGGGCACAGCTTGACCCGTGGACCAAGGAGCTGAGGTGGCATGTCCCACAGATTAACGTAAGTGCCATCACCCACATCAACACATGTCTCAACCAATCTTTTCAACATCCCCTGCACCAATGTCTAGCACCGTCTTCTTTAATTTGTTGCTTTCCATTGACCTGTTCCGCAAAGAATCTTCCTCCTTGAACCTGCTTCAACTACATTCCCTTCCTCACCATCTCAAACCCACCCTTTTGTATCTTTCCGCCACCCACCCATCCCACCATCGGCTGCCAGTCAAATGACCCACCGCAGCGCCTGAGGGCTCAGATCCCAGTGATTCCAGATGACTTGGTGCACGGGGCAGCAGAGCGGACAGCGGAGGAGAAGCAGGCAGAGGAGGATCGCAAGGCAAAGGAGATGGCGGCGTATCGCGTGCGCGTGGAGTTTGAGTGTCATGGATCGTCTCTGTCGGGTGTTACTGTGGGCGAGGTGATGGCTTCAGGCAAGCCTCCGTTTGCCGTTGCAGGGCATTCGTTTTCCTCTTCAGAGTATATATGCTCATGAGGTAGTCGGATGACATTGTTCTCATAACGAGCCTATAAAAACGATTACAACTCAAACAGAGGTTCTCATGATAGCAGTTACTACCAAGGTATAGTGGATGCAGTACCACCATTATTAAGTAGACACCTTCACTGGGAATCCAACTAAGAGTTTGACACTGCAGCATCTAGGGGAGGTTGGGGCAGAGTAGGAAGGACACAAGACCTAATGCCAAACTATGGTGAAGCTCGTGTGAAAGCATATCTTTAGAAAACCCAAGCGATGCAGACAGGCAAGCTGGGACAGATGAAGCAGATCGATAGCAGTGATAGCAGAAGCAGACCTACTCAATCTCAAGTCTTGCATCACGAAACCGCAGAAAAGGTCGAAGGCTGACCTTGAACAGGCTGCATCCGACAGATGGATGCCTCTCAGATGGCCGTCGGAATGGGAACAGTACTTCTTCCACCGAGGAACGACAGGAAACTCCCAGACTCATTGTCATCCAGGAAAAGGTCGTCAGGGACCCTGAAGGCGGCGTGCAAGGCGATCGCAGCAGCACCCATCACCAGACCCGACATGAGAATAGATCCGACGGACGTCAGCCCGAAGACGATGACGATGGATATGACTGCCATGGCGAGGAACTTCTCGCGTTCGTTCAGGGTCCTTCCAGCGATGATCAGCGCATCGGTGCGAACCATGAAAATGTACACCCAAGCGGCTGCGAGCAGAGCTAGCCAGAGAATGGCAGTCGGATTCCAGAGCATGCAGAGAATAACGACGACAATAAGGATCGAGAGGTAATTCGCCTGAAAGTAACTGGTATTTTTACGAATTCTTCCAAGCGCGTCATTAAGATTGTCGGGTCTAGCGAACAGCGACCGATCCGTCAGCTCGCTCCATGGCCGCTGCTGCGCTATCGCATTCCGATAAGACTCCTGGATTCTAGCTACAAGCGCCCGCATCCCCGTCGGATTTCCCTCTACCGCACCTCCAGGAACAGACGCCATGGCAGTTAATAATATTTCAGACCAAGCCGCCTTCGTCTGCCGGATTGCTCAAGAGCAGTGGTGCCGACTAGATTTACTAACTGATTCTGACTGGCAGGGAGAATTTGGTAGGCTGACCCTGACTAACCGTTCTGTGGAGTAGCTTCCAGCTGCCCTACACGTTTTGGCGATATTGCTGTGCGACGACACATGTTACCTCTTGAATTCGCTCACCGGGGTCACAAAACAGACAGGTGGCAAAACCAAGATTTTGCCGTTGAGTCAGGTTCCAGGTCGGGTCCGAACCTGTGACACAAAGATTCGCCGAACCCTACGCGCCCAACCTATGCTCTCACGGGTCTGGAGTTGCAGAGGTTCGGTGCTGCTTAGGTCCGCAAACTCTCTCACGACCAATCAGACACGGCCTCGCGTCAAATCTCCGAAACGCGTACCGCTTGCTAGGGTGTGTCAGCTCCGCCTGTCGAGCTCCTTCCCAACCAGGTCTCGGTGTTGGCCATCATACACCGCCCTTCATTTCCGCTATCAAACTCGTGAGGACACTACTACATATGCACTTGCTTCTGTTTCGCAGCAACCAGATTTCAAGCTCTTCTTTTTGCAAATTCTTAGCTCACGCTCACCAAGGATTACGACTGTCGCACACTTGCTGATCGCTCTTCGTGCTTGGCAAGTATTTACTCTCTCCTACCACGATTCACTGCACTCTTCATTTAGCCTGCCATTCTCATTCATCTGTCAACTAGCCTTGATTGACTAGCTCGAGACCGTGACATTCCATGGCGGCTGTTGCTCCAGGAGCCTCTATGGCCGGGAACCCATCGGCTTCCGCTGTACGGTCGCTCATAACCAAAGTTCAGGAGTCATATGCCGCAGCCACCGCTCAGCAGCGTCCATGGAACGAGCTCATTGACCGCTCCAGTTTAGCCAAGCCCGAAAGCCTGAATGACGCCCTCAGCCGGATTCGCAAGAACCTGGGCTACTTTCGGGCAAATTACCTGGGCATTCTCATCGCAGTTGTCGTCCTTAGCATGCTCTGGAACCCAACAGCTATTCTGTGGCTGGGTCTTCTCGGATCTGGCTGGGTGTACGTCTTCATGGTCCGCACGGAGCCGATCATCGTCGCTGGAAGAACGCTGAACGAGCGGGAAAAGTTTCTCGGAATGGTGGTAATCTCCGTGGTTGTCGTCTTCGGACTGACATCAGTGGGCTCCATTCTCATGTCTGGGGTTGTGATAGGCGCCGTGGCCATCACCGTGCATGCATCTTTCAGGGTTCCAGATGACCTCTTTTTGGACGATTCGGATTCTGCTGGCTTTTTGTCGTTCCTCGGTGGAAGGCCCCAAATGCCTCCTGCCCTCTAATTTAGTCAGACTAGAGCAGTAGGTGAAGTTTTGGGAATTTGACAGATACCTATTTAGTTCAAGTTACTCATCTAGTTTTTGTAATGGGGCGAAATACTTGCTCATCTTAGTTACTCATCTTAGTTTTCCACAGTGGGTTTTTGCTTTAATTGCCCACTTGGGTATAAAACGTACAGCCAGTCAAAGCAGTGCGAATACCAGCTCATTATGGGTGATGGAGGAACACAGGCATATGAGCATGATACAAGGAGAAGTGAAAAATGACTGGCTTGGCAGCTGCAACACACAAGTAATGCTCACGGTGTACATTCATGAGTATCACTCCCAATGTGCAACCAGGAAAAACACGTTGCACAAAGCAGGTCCTACTTTTCTAAACCACTGCCTACATTCGGAACATTACAAACATTCCTTCTACTGTGGATTTTGTCCATGGCGAGCAAGCCTAAACTAAAAGGCGAGAAACCCTTTCTTCTCCTCTGGAAGCACAACCACATCCATCTGTTCCCCTTGAGCCAGCCGCCAAGCTGCAGCCTCCATTGCCAGGCCTGCCATGGTAGGTGGCTTCTTCAGCACAAGCGGCATTCCCTGATTGGATGCTCCAATTGTTGCCGTGTCTTCCGGAATAACCCCCAATAGCGGAAGTCCCTGCTTGGTCACAACGACACGTCAGTGCATGAGTTGTGCGGGAAGAGTGACGTGACGGGGAGAAAGGGAAGAAGGGAGGGAGGGGAAGGGAGGACGGATTGTCAATGAACCTACAGTGGCCCAAGACAGTAATTCAGGAACACACATACTCTCAGCCAATTAACCCATTTCCATAGCGACAGACTTTACAACCTCCATCAGTTGAGGGTTTTTTAGCATGAATGGCACAGCTCCCACAATATACTCCCAAAGGAAAGGAAGGAGTTGGAAGGAAACGAGCGAGTGGGGGAAAGAGGGAGGGGGGCGCGGGAAGGAGGGGAAGGAGAGGTGTGGATCCAGTGAACTCACAAGCATTTCCCTGACGTCCCCGACGGACATCATCTGGCCTTGCTTGATCAGATCGGCCTGCACGCGGTTCACCAGCAGCGACACGTTCGTTATGCCGTCGCACTCCAACAACCCCGCAACCCTGTCCGCATCCCTCAGACACGTCACGTCCGGCGTCGTCACGATAATCGCCTCGTTAGCCGGCGTGATTGCCGTTATAAACCCGGCTTCGATCCCCGCTGGACAGTCCAGAAGAATGAAATCAGGGCACCCCTCTTCGCGCTCTCTTAAGGCTTCCACTAGGAGAATCAGCGACTTGCCGCTGAAATTCAAATCGATTTTAGACCGAGGTTTGGAAATGCAGAGAAGCTCGAAATTGGGGACGCGCTTATCGCGTACAAGCGCCTGATCAAGACGAGCCTCCCCTGCCAACACATCTTGAACGGTGTGAAATACCCTAGCCTCCATCCCCAAGAGCAAATCGAGGTTCCTGAGACCCACGTCGCAGTCTATCGCGACGACTTTGAACTCCAACCGAGCGAGGCACATTCCGATATTAGCCACCATAGTCGTCTTTCCGACACCTCCTTTCCCCGATGTCACCACTATGACACGTGGTGGCGTCCCCTTGTACTCCGGCCGCTTCCCCCATTGGAAAACCGCCTGCGGCGAGCTCCAGAGATTCCGTCTGGCGACATTTCGCTGCGATTGGAGGATTGATGCTGACGAAATAGACGCTGATTGGAACCGAGGAAGAGAATCCCCAAAGAAAGAGCTGGCGATGTTACTCCGCGAATGGAATTTGTTACTGCTAGTCTGAAGACGGAGTCTAGGTTGATGGGTGCACTGAAGCGAGCTCAATCCGTTGGGAGCCATCGCTAGACAAGCAGTGTTCGGACGTGCACGAGGGGATGCAGCGTCGGCGGAGGAGCAGAACCGGAGCTGGCTGACGGCTGGTCTGAGGGAGGACGCTGCCATGAAACGCTAGTAAACGACTACTAGATAGATGAAACTTGAGGGAACGCCTCGGGAGCAGCGTAAAAAAAGGTGGTGTTACAACGACGCCTTATGCGACTACAGATGTGGCACGCGCATCACAAAGAAACGGCGACTCTAATTTGATGCTGCAGGAGGCACGGCAAAGGTGCACATTAGCATCGAGCTGCTGGCTCCTAAATACCTAATTACCGAGTGTTTCATGGACTCTGGATTTGATGGCCAATAGCATGCGGAAAAGGAACATGAGATGCGCCTAGAGCAGGCGGACGAGCGCGCGGGGGGAAAAGGGGAGGCGAGGGGGGAAACGGGGTAGGGTGCTAGGAATTCGCGGAACGCTTTTGTGGAGGAAGGAAGGGGGATCGGGATTCGGGAATGCGCGGGGAGGTTTGAGCTGACTGACAGCCAGCTTCGGCGGGCAAAGGGAACTCCGATCATCCCGCGATGTGATGGAGACGAGCCTATAGCGGGTTGGTGCATCAGAACTAAATTCAAAAAACATCAACAGCAACAATAAGTCTCGACCATTGGAATAACAGTGGAAACATCAGCTTCAATGAGTGAAGGCTTGGCATGTGAGGCCCGCGGCACTCTTTTCAAAATTCTATGAAATAGCCTCGTACGTTTCCTACACCCTATCTACTCCATACACGAACGTGTCAAGCACTGCACCCATAGTTGCACATATATGTGTGGTCATTATGACGCTAGTGACTTGACTAGATAGCTAGTGACTAAGGGTACATTCCGCTGTGGACAGCGTCCCAATCGATGTGTCCCAATCGATTCTACCGCACTGCATCTTATTACACCGAATTACACCCTAGTTTCAAAATTTTCGCTTCTCTGGTTTAGTTCGGTTCGGAGCGGTACACCCGATTGGGACATGTACGATTGGGACATGTCCAGCGCGGAATGTACCCTAAATCGTGCTAGTGATTATCGAGTTTAGTGACGGGCACGTATCGATAGCCTGGAGGCAAGCGTGCGTTGAGGGCACGCGCTGCCGCATGTGTGGCAAGGTACGACAGCTGCAGCTGCAAACATACACAGAGACACAGGAGCACACAGGGACACACGCACACACACATAAGTGAACATACTTAGCCCATGATCTATAGCTTAACACCAAAAAGACATATTTCTACAGCCGGTATCACACACAATGCTTGCCTTACCTTCAACAGTGGCCTTGTCGTCACACCCCCTGCTTGCTTTTCCTGCGAGCTCTGTTCCGCTCCACATGCCTGTCTCGCTGCTCCACCCACAATCACCCTACCCAGTCTATCATCCCCACCCTCGCCCTGAGCCACTCCCACACAGCGTCTCTTCTGATCCTCATGATCCATGAAAGAAACTGAAGCTCCGCGCTTTGAAGGCAGCAGAGGTGCGTTGGAGGGCAGCTGGGAGGTGCTACTGGGGGAGGTGAATTGCTGGAAACGAGAGTCGAGTTTCCGGATCCTGGAAGCTGCTGCGTGCTCTGGGCAGTACACGTAAATTTTTACAGCTGCCCGAGGGGGTTCGACAGGGACTGCGGTGGTGGTAGTGAGTGGTGGAGGAGGAGGGGGTGCTGCTGCGAGAGAGGAGGGAAGATGAGAGGGCCCTGCAGCAGGAGTGGAGGTAGATGTGGAGGAGAGTGGAGGAGGAGGAGGAGGAGTAGCAGCACGTGGTGCAATGCCAGGGGAATCAGCAGCGCTGGTACCAGGGGTGGGACAGGTGGTTGCGGGAGGAGCAGGAGAGGCAGAAATAGTGGGAAGGGCAGTGGCGGGGGCAGTGGCGGGGGCAGTGGCGGGGGCAGTGGCGGGGGCAGTGGTGGGGGCAGTGGCGGGGATAGATGCGGCAGATGGAGGCGAGGAAGGGGTGCGAGGCTTTCGAAGTGGCTCTGACGGTGGGGGCTGAGTGGAGAGGCGAGAGCAGTAACGAGCACACATGGGGTGCATCACACGGGGGCATCCTGGCGTGGCACACTGAAGGGGGTGGGATGGGGGATGGGGGCACAAGAATTGAAGGATGGGGAATAAGAGACTGAGGTGGAAGGTGGGATGAGGGGAGACAAGGGAATGGGGAGGACCCTGTAGAGAGGGAAGACAGAGGAGTTATACACAAGAAGGATATACAGGAGGAGATAATATAGCAACCGATTCACACCCCAATATGCCATTCCTTTCAACCCATTACAGCCGTTCGACACCCACCCCTAGGATCCAGAGTGCGTACCTGCATGCATGGGGGCGCAGATGAGGAGTGGCAGAAGCAGCAGCGGCGCTGCTGCATGGTGGGCGGGATGGCGCCCTGATGGCCCGTGGTGAGATGATGTGCGGGGGAGAAAGGGGGAGTGGGAATGAGCGGGATTGGGACAGAGGGGGTGGGAGAGGAAGGGGAGGAAGAGCGGGAAGGAAAGGAGGCAGGGACAAGCAAGGGAAGAGACAGCATGGGTGCTGAGTGAAGAAACTTAGCATCCCTAGAACTGAGATCACCATACGTGTGCGCTACCTTGGATAGGTGCACGCCTGAAATGAGGTGCCTTTGATTAATGCTGGCAACCCTATTTCCTAAACGAGTGCCTTCATTACACTCACAGTGAGGCGAAGGGGTTCCTCCTCAGGCGCACCCAGCACAGCATGGTCAGGAAACAAGACCTGGAAAGAAGAGGAGGAGTCATGGGCGGATGGTGGTGGGTAAGGGAAGCATACATTCTGTTTGGGAATAGGGCATCTTCACGTGGGTGAGTGAGTTTATTGAATGGGTAATTGGGTGAACGGGTGGGTGATCGAGTGAATGAGAGAGTGCGTGAGCAAGAAAGTGAGTGAACAAGTGAGGGGGAAAGCGAGAGAGTGAAAGAGTAGATGAGTGAGCCTAGGAGTGAGTGAGAGATTGAGAGGTACACCTGAGCGCACAACAGATGCACCCACTCGCCCTGCTCTGTTCGCTTCAGTGCAGACTGGCCACCATTCCCCACCCTCCTGTTCCCCTCCCCCTCCCTGCTGCCGCCCATCCCCCCACCCTTCACCCCATTTTCAGCACTCGCCCCATCCCCTCCGCCTCCCTCCCCTATCACCCCATCCCTCCCCGCACCATCTTCCGCCCGCTTCTCTCTCCCTCTCTCTCCTCCCTGCAAGAGCACAACATCTACCCCACTACTGCCCCCCTCCACTCTCACTCCCTCTTCCCCAGTCACCCCATCCCCTCCCCTCCTACCTCCCCCCTCCCCCACCTTTCCCCCCAACACCTCCCCCAACACGGCTGCTGCCTCTTCTCCTTGTCGCCGCCCTGCCTCTGCAATCTGCTTCTCCCCCCCTCCCCCTTCTCCGACCTCCCCTCTTTCTCCCGACTTCCCACAGTCGCCCCCCTCCCGGTTCTCCTGCCCAGCAGCGCCCAGCCACGCGGCAGGAGAGCAGAGGGCGCAGGAGACACTGGGGGGAGAGAGCCTTGCTGAAAGGAGGGAAGGCGGGTGCAGGTGAGCAGGGGAGTGAGGCTGGTGCGTGGGTGGGTGGGACTGCTGCAACCCCTGCTGCTCATGCTGCTGCTCCTCTTTGTGCTGCTGCTGGTGCTGCTGCTGCTGTTTTTGATGCTTTTCTTCCCTCTCCTCTCCACCCTCCGCCCAATCCCAGCGGCACACCTGGCACAACCACGGCCCTGACCTCCCCTCAGGCACGCCGTAGCACCAATGGTGAACTGCCACGTGGCACTTTCCACACTCAATCATGCTCCTGTGCGGCCCACACTCCCTTTGCCAGCACGCCCCACATTCCCTCCACACCCCCTCCTCTCCCTCGACTTCCAACACCTCCCCATGCCCCACTGCACCACTCTCCATCTGCCCATCCCCTTCACCACCCACTCCATTCAACAACCCTGAAGATACATCCACTCTCCTGCCCCATCCCCCCACTCTCCCTCCCACTCTTCCCCCCACTCTTCCCCCCACTCTCCCTCGCCCTCCCCCGGTCCATCCCCCCCGCCCCCTGCCCCTGCCCCGGCCCCACGCACCTCTCCCCCTCGCCCCTCTCGCACCACTGGTAAGTCCAGGGCGGGCAGCAGTAGAGGGGAAGATGAAGGGGCGGGACGCTAAGGGGGATGCTTGCATACTCCCTGCATCAGCAGCAGTTGCACCTGCATCACCACCACCAACACCGCTGGCAGCAGCATTACCACCAGCACCTGCAGCAGCGCCAGTACCACTGTCACCAGCAACAGCAGCAGCAGCAGCAGCAGCAGCAGCAGCAGCAGCAGCAGCAGCAGAAGCAGCAGCAGCGGGACTGCCATACGCTACCCCCAGTCTCGTCATCCCCAGGCCCGCTCTCCCTCTCCCTCCTCCCAATCCCCTTCCCCACGCCCTACCACCAAGCCCCCAAGAAGGAGACACGCCACCCCCTGCACCACCCATCCCAGCAGCAGCGGCAGCACCAACACCAGCCGCAGCAGAACGACCAGCAGCAAGAGAAGAAACACCCAGAGGACTGGCAGGAGCAGCAGCACCCCCCCCAGAAACACCCACCCCAGCAGCACCCGCCACAGCAGGACCAGCAGGGTCCCGCTTCAGATGCCCCACACGAGGGGAAGCAGCAGCAGCAGCCTCAGCAGCGGCCAGCACAGCCTGAGCCTCCCTCTCCCGCCGGTCCCTCCGCCCCTGCTTGCGCTGCTCCCTCAGCACGCCCAAATACTCTTCAACCGCCGCCTTCCCCTGCTGCTGGGTCTCTGCTGCTTGCCTCTCGGCCTGCAGGAGCGGTAGCATGCGGTGCAGAAGGTGTTGAGAGCGGTGGGAGAGGGTGTGGAGGACGGAAAGCAGCTGGGTCTGTGCTATGATGAGCTCAGATGTGATCTCGTCCTCAGGTGTACCTCCCTCAGGTGCCACCTGCACCAGGGCGCCATCTGAACTTATCAGCTGCACTCCTTGCTCCCTCCTGCTCACTTTGTGCTCCTCTCCTTGCTTGTCCCGCTCCTCGCCTTCCCTTCTTCTTCCCTCCTCCTCCGCCCCTTCCCCTAATTCCTCCTCTTCTTCCTTCACACGCCCCACACAACTTGAGTCCTCTATCCCCTCTTCACCAGACGCCTGCAGCATTTCAGCATATCTCTGCACGTACGCGTGGCACCGCACCTGCTGACTCAGCGCCAGCGCAGCAGCGCCCTCCCATTTGGGCCACTCCACGTCAGCCTGGGCTTGCTTTGCTGCCGCCACATCAGCAGCAGCACGTGCTGCTTGTGCCACATCAGCACGTGCAACAGGCGCCACAGCAGTACTACTAGCATTCAGCCTTGCTTCACCGCGCACACTCCTTCCTGAGACATCTGGCGGCCCATCTCTTGACTCTGCTGCTCCTCCCACAGCACGTGCTGCGCTCACCTCCCCGGCTGCTGCAACTGCTCCTGCTGCATCTACCTCCTCCCTTCCTGATCTTTCTTCCACCAGCACCACCACATCATCATCATCTGACTCCTCCGCCACTGCTGCCGCTACCGATGCCTCACCTCCTGCTGGTGCCCTCTCTGCCGCCTCCCCTGCTGCTGCTGCCTCCCGTACTGCTGCTGTTGATGCATTTGCATCCGTCATCACGACATTTCCACTAGCACCACCATCATCATCGCAACCACCAGCAGCGCACGACCCAGCATCCCCTCTGATCGTCCCCCTTTCTGCATCTGCACCCACCCTCCCTTCCTCCCTCCTCCATCCCTCTTCTCTCCCTCCCTTCTCTCTCTCCACCAGCATTCCATTTCCTCCATCCCTCTCTCCCTTCTCACCCCCATCCATATGCACTGCTCCCTGCCCCACACCCACCACACGAGCTTCATTGCCAGTACCCTCCAATCGAGGAGCCCCTTTCCCATCTTCCAAGCTCCCCTCATCCTCCTTCATCCCCCTTTCTCCCTCCTCCTCACTTCCATTCTCCCCTCCCTCCCTTTCATCCTCACCCTCCTCCCCCTCATCCCCTTCCTCCCCATGCCTCTCATCCACTCCCCCTTCAACCCCCCCATCCATCCGCTCTTCCTTTCCCCCACCACCTTGCTCCCTCTCCCCCACAGTCCCCGCACCTGCCCACGCCCTTCCCCCTTCCTTCCCCACCTCCCCGCCCTCTCCCCCTTTCCCTACCCCTCCGCCTGCCCCTGCCTGCAGCTGGTGCAGCAGGGGGGGAGGCGCAGGGCGGAGTGGCGGGGGCAGAAGGCGTTGAGGAGCACGCGGGGGGAGCAGGGGGAGGCGGAGAGGGTCATGAGCAGGCCCCCCTGGCGCGCGCACATGGGGTGGAAGGGCACTGCGCACATGCCTGGGGGGGGGGGAAGGGGGAGGAAGGGAAGGGGGAAAGAGGGGGAGGAGGAGAGAGGCTAGGAGATTGGATTTTGGGGTGGACTAAGAAGCCACCTGGCGCGCGCACATGGGGTGGAAGGGCACTGCGCACATGCCTGGGGGGAAAAGGAGAAGGGAGAACGGAAAGAGGAGGGGATATAGGCGAAGTAAGTGCATCAGTAACAAGAGCCAGAAGGCCGCTCCATCCAACGCACCGTGGCTAAACCCCTCAAAAGACTCAAAAGCGCAGCACTGCGGTCACTCCATCCCACCGCGGTTCAACCACTCAAGCCTAGCATGAACGTCAACGCACCATGGCTGCATTGGATGCAGGTACCCTCCTTGGAGCGGCACAGGCAGCACAGCATGCGGCGGCGCTCCTGACTGACGCCCCTCACGTTGCACACGGGGTGCATGCTCTCTGGATCGCCCACGTACGTCTCAGGCACCCACTGGCTGCAGAACAGATGCGCAAATAGCTGCACGTCCTTCTGCTCCTGCTGCTCATGCTGCTGCTGCTGCTGCTGCTGAGCCGAATGGTGGTGCTGCTGTTGCTGCTCCCCTCGCTGTTGCTGCTGCGGCCCATGTGCGTCTTGTGAAGGTGCTGCTGGCGCGGGTTTCGATGCTGCCACGGCTGCGGGCAAACCAGCTGGTGCAGAGGGTTCCAAGGAACCAGAGGGAGGGGCGCCAGGGAGGGCGGGTTTGAAGGCACCGGAGAGCACGGGGCAGAGCGCACAGCGCACCTCAGCAGGCCGGGTGCTGCTGCACCGCGCACACAGCCACGGCAGGCTTGCATCCTCCTCCTCCTCTTCCTCCCTACTGTGCTCCCCCCCTCCCTGATCCGCCCCTCCCTGTTCCCGCGCTCCCTCTCCCTGCTCCTGCCCTCCCTGCTCATCCCCTGTCTTGTGTTCCTCTCCCCCCACGGGCAGCAGGGCAGCAGCGGGGATGCCGTAGCACTGGCGGTGCACGGGCACGTCACAGCCATCGCACAACACTATGGGGTTCGCATCGTCGCTCTCCGTCTGGCAACACACGTCACACGCCTCTCCCTCCCCAACCCCCTCCTCCTCCTCCGCTCCCCCCTCCACTCCCTTCCCTCCCCCCTGCCGCCCATTTCCTCCAGCCTGAGCGATTGCCTGCGAAAGAGGGGGAGACACAAGGGTCACCAGCATCCCCTCCTCCCTCTCTGCTCTTGCTGCTGCTCCCCTGGGCCTTCCTCTGCCTGCCTTCTTCCCGCCTCTCCCTCTGCCAGCAGAAGCAGGCGGATCACATGCCGCTACTGCACCCATAGCAGCAGCAGGAACAGCAGGAACATCAGCAGCAGCAGGAGCAGGAGCAGCAGTAGTGATGGGAGCAGGAGCAGGTGGTAAATCTACAGGGTGGGGAAGCGAGCCAGCAGCATCACCACGTGCCCCATCGACGACCACACTGCAGTCATGAGCAGCACCGACATCACTGCCGGTGGCATTCTTGGAATCACCACCAGCTAAAGCCACCGCACAAGTGGCAACACAGTCAGCAGGGGCAGCATCAGGAGCAGCAGCAGCAGCAGCAGCAGCAGCAGCAGTGGCGCCACTCGCAGCAGAGTCAGCAGCAGCGCCAGGTTCTCCCACATGCATCTGACTACTTGCTCCTGTGTCGGCAGCAAGCGAGCCAGAATGCCTCTCTCTCACAGCTGCAGCAGCATCACCACCACCGGCAGCAGTAACAGCAACACCGCCACTGCCACTGCCACCACCACCAGCAGCAGTAACGCCAGCACCTCCACCCCCACCCCCACTGCCACCCAGTCGTGTGCGCCTCCTCTTACTCCCAGGGACAACCACGGTCACATCGCCACCACCCACCCCAACACCACTGCTCACTGCACCCTCACTCACCCCAGCCTTAGCCCCCCCTGCAGCAGCACCATCGCCTCCCTCCCCCACCTGCCCCCCCCTCCTCTTCCTCAACTGCCTATCGCTCCCCTCAGCCCTCGCTGTCCCCCCCTGCTGCCTCTGCCTCCTCCGCTTCTGCGGCTGCTGCTGCTCCCCCTGCTGCTGCTGCTGAAAATGTTGCCCCTGCAGCTGCATCCCTTCCCGTCCCCCCTCTCCCCCTGCTACCCCCTGCCCACCCCCCCCCGCCCTTCCCTCACCCCGCTGCCCCCCCAAACGACCCTCTTCATCCCCCCTCCACTTCCCCTGTCCGTTCCCCTGCCCCTGACTCAGGCCCTGCCCATGCCCCAGCCCCTGCCCCTCCACCTGCCGTGCCCCTTCCTGTCCGAACGCCTGCGCCTTCAACAACAACTGCTGCCTCAATGGGGGGCGGTGCCCCGCAGGCGGCAGGGCAAAGGCGGGATCTCGCTCCGTGATGCGGCTGAAGTGTGCCACGTAGGCAGCAGGGGAGAGCAGCGCCACGTCAGCGGTGGTGACGGGGCGGAAGAAGCCCTCCACGTGGGCCCAGAATCCCTCGCTGGACCTCTCTACCTTTATCCCGGGGATGGGGACAGCAGCAGAGGGGTTGGGCACAGCCACATGCTGCTGCTGCTGTATTTGTCGCTGCTGCTGTGACGGCGGCAGTGGGTGTGGCGGGTGCTGTGTGTGTGGTGTGCGTGGTGGCGGTTGGGGGTGCGTGATGGTGGATGGGTGGGAGGAGGAGTGAGGGGCGCTGATTGCCTGCGCCTGCTGAATCGTCCTATGAGACACATGATGGTCGTTCTTCCCATGCCCATGCCCATGCCCATGCTCATGCTCTTTATTATGCCCATGTCCATGCCCACTCCTGTCCCCATGCCCATGCCCATGACCGTGCGCATGAGGCGACACATGCCGATGCGCATGCCCGTCCCTATGTGCATGTTCATCAGGCGACACAAGCACATGCTCCTGCTTGATCACAGGGACACGGCCTGGGGCGTCACCACAACAGTGGGAGAGGGCGCCTGCTGCCTCGCCACCTTCCTCTGCCCCCCGCTCACCCACGCCCCCACTACCACTGCCCGCCTCTGATCCGCCCTGCGCCTTGGGGGGTGCGGCTTCTTGCTTCCGCTCAACAGCTGACTCACCTGCGCCCTGCTCCCTCTCCAACAGCTTAGAGTGTGCAGCACACGGCTGCTGCGATGCTGCTGCTTGTGTTGAAGCTGCTTGTACTGAAACTGTTTGCACTGCGAGGCGATGAGCTGAAGCCTGTCTTGAGTCACTCACGAGCATCTGTGCGTCTGCTGCTGCCTGTATGCGCGGCTGCTTCCCCACACCACCCACCCCCTCCTTCCCCTCCGCCTCCTCCCTCCCTTCTCCCTCCTCCTCCTCCTCTTCTTCTCCCTCTTCCTCCTCTTCCTCCTCCTCTTCCTCCTCCTCCTCCTCCTCTTCCTCCTCCTCCTCCTCCTCCTCCTCCCCCTCCTGCTCTTCCTCCTCCTTCCGTGTATCCGCTCTCCCCCCTCCCTTAACCTCTTTGCGGTCCACCTCTTCTCCTATCCTGCCCTTTGCTCCCCCTGTTCCCCCTGTTCCCCCTGCTCCCCCTGCTCCTCGTGATCCCTCTGCCGCCCTCTCCCCCGCACCTTGACCATCTCCCCTCTCCTCCCCTCCTGCCCTTAACCCTTTCCCACCGCTTACCCGCCCCCCTTGCTCCCCCATTCGCCCATCCTGTTTCCCCCATGCGCCCAACTCGTTAACCAAATCTTTACTCCCGCTTTCTCCCCCCCACTCCGCATCTCCGCTCCCCGTCCCCCCTTCCCCCCGCCCCCCCACCACCTCTACCACGTCTGCTTCCGCTTGCGCCTCCCACTGCGCATCCCCCACTCTTCCCCCCATCCCTGTCTCCCTGCAGACAGCGGATCTTGAGGAATCCCCCTCCGCGGGAGCCGCCGCGTTTGCCGGCGTCGCCGCCCATGCTAGCTGCCGTCCTGCAAACCGCTGCCGCCGCTGCCTGCTGCTGTCTAGAGTACCCTCCGCCGCCGTCGCTCCGGGGGATGCTTCTTGCACCGATAGCACCGCGACGGCGCTTCCTGAGGGGGTTTCTGTGCGCAAAGCGCTGACCGGGTGTCCGCGTATGGGGGTTACGTCCGCAGTACGCGCGGAGGTCGGGGAGATGGGGGAAAGCGGAGGCATCAGGCCGGCTTGCGGCTTCTTCTCCGACTGGCTCCTGTTCGCGCGCTTTCCGCCGGACGCCTCCCCCCGTCCCCCGCGCGCGGAAGTCCTTCCGCCCCGTCTGCGACGCCAATGCCCTGGAAGTGAACCCTGCCGGGCGCTTCCCGCGGGGTGCAAAGAAGCGTTGGCGGAAGCGTTAGCATCGGGGAACGCGGCGCGCTCGAGTGAGAGCACCTTGAGCGCCTGCGTATACGTGTCCATGGCACGACACGTGGACACGTAGACACGTGGATGCGTGGACTCGCCGACACGCTGACAGGCTGGCGCTCGATTCGGCTTGCTAACGGCGGTTTAGGTGTGCGGGGATCAGCCTTGGCGGACTAACGGCGGATTGGGCGGAATGCTTCGAGGCGCTACGCGTGGCCTTGGACGCGGAACGGCGGTAGGGAGATGGCCGATGCATGATTCGCTCAGATCCGAAGCCCGTGCTGACGTCAAGAAACGGCTGAGGCGCAGAGCTTCAGATCTTTTGTCCGGAATCCGTGATGACAATGCGACGGCGGCAGGTGAGCTGAGCACAACTTTCCAAGCGATGCACAACCTGCAACGAACCTGAGTACAGCGAATTAATGCTGAATAATGTTGAAGTCTACACCACTTTATCCAACGTATAAATATTCTCAGCATAAGTTACACCAAAATATGTCATACCAAGCATAACACCAGCCAGGCTAGCAAAACTGTATACAAACATAACACCACAAACCATAATCCAAACGTACAAAAACTCCTCAGCAAAAACAAGTCTATAAAAATCACGCTACTGCTTGAGAACCCCCCAGCTGAGTCAGCTCTTCTAACGAGTCCACACTCGATCCAGACCCAGCGCGAACAAGCGACCCCTTATGCGCCACAACAGGAGGTGTGGAATCCAGCACACAAGGCGAAGGAGCAGACCCCGCAGAACTCGTTGCCGACTCGCTCGAATTCACAACCGTCTCAGGACTGGCTGGCAGGAGTGGCGGCGTGCGTGGCTCACTCGCAGGACTCCCCTTTGCCACCTCTCCTTTCCCGCCTTTACCCTCTCCTTCCCCCTCCACAACCACTACCTGCTCTGCCTGCGCCTCATCAGGCGGGCTGGAATACCCCCAGGGGTTCTGCCTAGCCCAGTTCCATTGATCCCGGCACATATCATCGAGAGTCAAACCTGCCCGCCATTTCAGCTCCCTCTCAGCCTTATCCGTCAGCGCATAGACCTCTGAACAGTCGCCGGGTCGTCTGGGGCACATCTTGACGGGAATCTCCCTGCCAGAGGCCTTCTCGAAGCCTGCTACCATCTCCAGCACGGATTGCCCGCGCCCTGTGCCGAGGTTGTACACGTCGCAGGTGAGGGAGGGCGTGGTGAAGATCTTGCGCAGCGCTGCTGTGTGGCCCGCTGCGAGGTCCATGACGTGAATGTAGTCCCGCACCTGGTAGGGTGTAGATGGGTGTATAAGACAGTACACAGAAGGTGAGGATGGGTATTTTGGGCAGTGCTGCTGTGTGGCCCGCTGCGAGGTCCTTGACGTGAATGTAGTCCCGCACCTGGAGGGGAGGGTGGTGCAGAGGGGAATGGCAGAAGGCGGAGGGTTTGCAGGGATGAAATCAGGTGATGATGGACCAAAGGGAGCAAAGGAGCAACAAACAACATTTTTGCTAAGTTACTTTCTCCAACCCCTCTTCCTCGGCACCTAATGTATCAATCCACCACACACACCCGCACCCCATTCACGCCAGCCCCATCCTTGCTCAGATACCCATTCTCAGACCAAATTCTGCGTCCATGCCACTCACCCTCACCACCCCCTCACTCCCACCCTCATCCCCCCCACTCACCCCTGTGCCGTCGCGCGTGGGATAGTCATTCCCAAACACGGAGAGGAAGGGGCGGCGGCCCACAGCGACCTGCTGGATGAAGGGCATGAGGTTGTTGGGGATGCCCTGGGGGTCCTCGCCTATGCGCCCCGAGGGGTGCGCGCCCACGGGGTTGAAATAGCGCAGCAACAGCACCTGCCACCCCGGCGACGCCGCCTGCATGTCCCGTAGCATGTTCTCTATGTACAGCTGCACGCAGGGGAATGGGGAAAGGCGTGGCGTGTGGGGAGGAGGGAAAGTCGGGCGTTGACCGTTGAAGGGGAGACACAGTCAACAGACTCAACAACAGCTGCGGAAAAACGGGGCACAGGCCGCAAGTTAGGGTCTATGCAGGTCTGCTGTGATGCGAGTCAGACGATTTTAGGCACATTTTTCTGGGTGTGAAGTGCGCCTAAAGGGGAGGGACACTGGGCGCACCTTGGTTCAGCCATACTGGTCTAGTGTCTGCCACTCGTCCTGCTCCAAGCACGGTGTATTTTCCAACTCAAAGTCATGACCAGAAAGACATGGGAGTGGGCGCACCTTGGTTCGGCCGTACGGGTTGAGCGTCTGTAACTCGTCCTCCTCCGTGCACGGCACTCTCTTGGGCTGACCGTACACCGTGGCGGATGATGAGAACACTATCTGCACGCACAGCCATGGGGACGGGATGGGGAGTCGCAGTAGATACGAACACAAATGAGACACCTCCTGCATGCATCCATGGAATCGGGACGGGGAGTCACAAAGGACACCTTTCTTGTGGTAAAGTGATCCTTTGGTTGAATATGTAATTTATAGTAGAAAAGCGGCGATTCTGCGCGTTCATTTCATCTTGCTACAGCCGTACTGCGCCACAAGCTCACCTTGCTACAGCCGTACTGTTCCATAAGCTCCAGCAGTACGATAGTGCCTGTAATGTTGTTGTGGTAGTATCGTAGCGGCTGCTGCACGCTCTCACCCACCGCCTTGAGCCCCGCGAAGTGAATCACGGCGTCGAAACTGAGAGATGGAAGATCGTTAGAAAAGGAAGTTAAAAACAGGAACGAATGTGAAAAACGAATGTTAAAATCAGGAGACGCGATGGGCGATGCAGCAACAGATTTGCGACACAAAAAGCGGCTGCAGTCAATGCCTGGGCAAGGATGCTGAATGCAAGAGGGATCTCGATGCTCGCGCTGGGGTCGTGGACTCACGCAGTGTGCTTGAACACCTCCTCCAGAAGAGGCCGGTCCAACAGATCAACCTGCGCACGCACGCGCACGCACGAGCAAACCGAACCGACAGTTAGCTCCATGACTTTCGACACGTCTCAAACGCCGATACGCAACTCTGCTGGCCGGACGACTCGACGGCGCGAGGCGAGTCGCGAGATGGAAGCATGACAGCTGAGGATCAGTCTAGTCCTACCTTGAAGAAGGTCAGATTTTTTCCCTTGTCGCCGGTCAGCTCCACGACGCGAGTGATAGCTTCCTCGGAGGAGTTATCGAGATTGTCCACCACCACTACCCTACACGACACAAGCGCACCGCACCAAACCGCGTCAGACAGCCGACCATGGTACCAAAATAATCGTCAACCATAATCAAGCGTCGAACTAGCTTGATTAATGTGCGGGACTGATCCCTGAGGACTTGAAACGCTGCGTGTGCTGCAATTTCCGCACAAGAAGATGGCCTGTGTGCCATACCTATACCCCTCCTCTAATAGTTGGACGCAGGTGTGGCTTCCAATGTATCCTGCGCCTCCAGTGACCAAAATAGTGCCTTTATTGGATGTGCCATTAGCGCGCCACTTCGAACCTTCCTGATTTGAACCAGCCATGAAGCCGACAGTTAATAAAGATACGACGTTTTAGTAACCAGTCTGATGCTTGCTCGAAATCAAGAGATAATAATAATGATGGGTAGGAAGTGGCGAAAAATACGGAATTTATGCAGCTGCTGGTGGTTGTGAGAGGAGCATTTCAGGGGGTTCAAAGAAATGGAGGGGATTGCAGGTCCTCGATAACTGTCCTGCAAAATTGGTTGAGCACGGGAGTTCGGTTCTGCGGTGGTGGGAGAAGAGGAGATTCCCATGATCCCATCCCAAGGTGGGGCTGGCGTGGCGCGCACCTCGTGGCCACTGGGGTTCGGGTCTTGTGCAACAAATCCTAATCCTTGAATCTCCGCCGCAAGATTGGAGTTTACGGAATGCTCAGGAAGTTTCAACGGTTTGGATACTGCGTTGGTTTTCTCTAACTTGTGACTGGCTGAACAAGACGGCGTCGCCTTTGGGTGTGGTTGGCTGAGGGCTAGCTGGAGTCTTGGCACCTGTCGCTGCTTTCCCCAGTCCCACACGCGAGGATGCTGGCGTGTGACATGTGGGGCGACATGCGAGCACCTGTGAAGGCGAGCTTTCGCGAACGAATCACCGTTTTCTGTAATACAGCAAACCTGCCCGTGACGCGAAGAGTGGGTGGTAACTACTCATCAGTGGCTTCGCTCCCAGTGGTTCGGAGTAGCTGTGACGTGTGGACGCATCAACGACGATGAGGCTGGACCAGTGATCCAGTGAGCCAGCCGTGGCCGGCAATTTTCCAACACAAGCCAGCAAAGGGCTGATCGGTGCCAGCAAAATCCTCCCAAACACTGCTTTTGTTCATTTGGCGAACAAGGTCGCACTATTCTCTTCAATAGCTTAAAATTAAACTGTGCAAATAATTTACGCGTGCCAGTTATGCGAATACGTTCATCCGATCGCACGCTGCAGGTGCGTCGAGCATCGATATAACGAACCAGATTTTGACAAGGGACGCCTCACGTGGTCGCCAGCACACCAGATAGGACACGTGAGTCACCTTTCTCGTGCTGTCGAGTGTGTCACCTGCTGACTCTGCCACTCCCGCTGACGCGACACAAGCACTTGCTCTCAGGTCGCCATGTATTCAGCTTTGTTTGAAACAGACGTGGCATGACGCCAGATCAAACTCACTGATGCTGGCAAACCCCATCACATGCCAACAATGTCCAGCATGGGGGCTTGCAATCCCGCTGAGCCCGCCAGATTCTCTTGTTATCCCAGAATTTTGAAAAGGGATTGTGACATTTTCTTCAGTTTTGTCTGCAGAAAGAACACAGGCATCTCGTTCATCGCATCAATTTCCATTTTTATTTGGGTCTGCTCGACTGTCAAGACTACGAATAGACGAGTAGGTTTGACTCCGTAGGTTTTACAAGGCGAATCTCGAGTTATTGTTCACTCCGTAGTTTTATATTCCAAACGTTGACGTGCAACCATGAAACCTGCTCATCACCACGAGAGCCATCAGCAGGAGAATGAGCACAAGAAGAACGTGCAGAAGGGGATAGAGCGGATGGAACGCCACTCTGGTACGGGTTCGCTGTAATATTTTGTTGAGATGTACATGTAACCAAGAGAAAGTTCTGATTGATTTTTCTGTGCACTGACGGTTGTAATCCCCTGCTTTCTACACTTTCGTCCGTGTCCTGTGCAGGAACTGGCGTTCGCGGAGATCCCAAGAAAGGTACTTACCCACAAACCACTTACAAACCTGTTCATCCAAACAACTTAGGATAGCATTCCATCTTTAAAACGCGTGTCGGCACTTCATTCTTTCTTGACGGCCACTCGAGCCCTTTCTAACGGATGTGGAACGTGTTTTAATTCTTTTCTAACCGTGTCTTTCTCAGGGGGAGGCGGAGGGAAGCACACGTGGGGAAATGTTGGAGATGAGTTCGAGCCCGTGGCGGACGCTCTGGATAAGAACGACCCCAACTACGACCCTGATGCCGGCGAGGGGCAGCTCGAAGAGAGGTGCGTTTGGGTTGCGTGTGGTTTGCGCGTGGCTCGCACGTGGCTTGCGTGTGGCTCGACTGTGGCTTGCGTGTGGATTGCGTGTCTCTTGCGCGTGGCTCAGCTGTGGCTTGTGGGTGGCCTATGTATGCTCTCCACTTCATTCAATTATTATTTCTCTCATCTGTTCATCTGCACCCCACATTGGACGGAACGTGATGAATCTTTCCCAACCTTTGTCAATGTTCTTTATTTCGAGTCCGTAGCCAACCACTTTGTAAATGCTTCTCGCACGTTTTGTTCCATCCGTTTAGGTCCGTTGAGCCGTTGGAGACGCAAGAACCCAAAAAGGTTGTCATGGACTGACGACCAACCAACCCCCAGGCGATGGTCACTTGGGTGGGGGAATTCGAAGTGATGGGCATCAGCTGCTTATGTCTACATACACGCACGAGGAATTGAGACTGTTCTTGCGCTCTAATTCCGTTTAGATAGCTTTTAGGAGATCAGCCTAGAATGAGCTGATTAGAGCACTCAGCTGACCATCAAGATGTTGGATACTCTTCTCTGGATGGGATAGATGGATGGGTTTGGGTCCCAATGCTCATGGGGGTCATCACAAATGCCACATTTGCACTTCATTGTGCTACCTTTTCAACATTCATTTTCATAACATTTGTGAGCCTGTATATGTTGACATGGCGAATGCAATCATCTGAAGCACGTCGTCCGAGTGTCTCTTGCGATTTCACGTATCTCTCCGTGCCACAGCTTTCGTGGCTAAACTGCCAAGCCTAACTGTATTTCCAGATGGAATGGCTTATTTGTGTTGGGCTGAGATAGCCCCTTAGGATCTTTTCAGGGGAGAACTCTGGGTAGGACAATTGTAATAGCGGAAGCTTTTAGTGAAGTAATTGTGAACCACCTTGCGCTAGTATGTGAGGGCAAAGTAGATTAATTATAACAGGAAAGTACAAGAATATATAGTGGTGTAAGGAATATCAAAGGATACGGTTATAACTACTTTTACTGTTGCTGTTGCGGTTCGATACAGTACGACTCGGGCAACTGCTCTGTAACGAGTCAGTTGTATGTCCTTAACTGTCGCGCTGTACTTGTCGGGTCAAAGGTCAGCGACCTTTGACCTTCGCGTAACCTCCAGCAACCTCTTCAACCCCCGAGGGTTGACTCGCGGGTGCTTCGGTGTAGTTTGCCTCGCTTCTGATGCGGTGTTTTCGACACGACTGAAGCGCTTAGGTCTTATTGTTTCCAACACTCCCCTTCGCTTCTGGAGTGTCGCTGCTGGTGACGTGGCCCTGTCCAGTCAGCAGCATGCAATACTCGAACTTTTGCTTTCCGAGTTTCTTGGTCAAGTAGTCAGCTGCCATCTCGGATGTGGGGCAGTATGACAGCTCGAGTCTCCCCTTCTCGATCTCGTCCTTCACGAAGAAGTAACGTAGGGCAATATGTTTCGTCCTGTTCGCGAAGCCGTTCTTGTTGGCGATGCGAATTGCTGACTGGTTGTCGCAGAACACGTTAAAGTTGGGTAACTCGGCTAACTTCGCTTCTTCCAGTAGCTCGCGAAGATAGAGTCCTTCTTTGGTGGCTGAGCAGAGTGCGATATATTCTGCTTCAGCTGAAGATAGCGCGATTAACTCCTGCTTGCTTGACTGCCAGGAGATAGGACCGATAGGCTCGAGGCGGTAGACGTAGCCGGTGCGTGAGCGTCTGTTGTCAGTGTCGCCGGCGTGATCGGCATCGACGTAGCCGATTAGCTTGGTTGGTGTAGCTGCGTTCTTGTGATAAGTTAAGCCGATCATTGCGGTGCTGATAAAGTAGTGCAGAGCGCGGTCAAGTTCCGCCAGGTGTTCTGCTTCAGGCTTCTTGAGATAAGTGGCGAGCTGGCTTGCGGAGTAGGATAGGTCGGGTCGGCAAGTGACGGCTGCGAAGAGAAGGCAACCTAGCTTCCTCTGATAGTTGCGTATGCCGGCGGATTTAAGTGGGGTAGATTCCTTATCGGCTCCTGTCGTGTAGCGGTATGGTGTTGAAATCGCGGCTGGCGTAATTCCGAATCGTTTGGCGATGGCGTCGGCGTACTTTTCGGCGCTGAGGTAGATCGCGTCGTTATCTTCTCGAATGTTAAGTCCGAGATACTGTGTGACGGTAGATGAGACAGTGAGGGTGAGGTCCCTCTGCAGCTCCCCTTCGAACCAGGTGGTGATGCTGTCGGTAGAGCCGATGTAGAGAAGATCGTCCACGTAGACAATTAGCAAGATGTAGTCGCTGTTCTTCGTGAGGCGGTACATGCCCTGATCGTGCGGGAGTTGTTTGAAGCCGATGCGGATGAGACGAGTATGCAGGTACTGCTGCCACAGTCGCGGTGCCTGCTTGATCCCGTAAAGCGATTTTAGTAGCTGGCAGACGTGCGTGGAATTTGTGTTGGAGCCGTGCGGTAGTTCCACGAAAATCTCTGCATCGACCGGTGCGTAGAGAAAAGCGTTTGCGACGTCGATTTGGCGCAGTTTCTTTTTCTTCATAGCGGCGATGGCGAGAAGAATTCGAAGTGAAGTGTGGCGGCTGACCGGAGCGAAGGTTTCGGTGAAGTCTCGTCCATGTTCCTGGTCAAAGCCGCGAACGACCCATCGTGCTTTAAACTTGTCGATGGTGCCGTCGGCCTTCGTCTTCACACGGAAGACCCATTTCCCGGTAAGAATGGTCTTGTTTCGCGCTACACCGATGGGAACGACTTTCCAGGTGTTGCGTTCCTCTAATGCCTTCAGCTCCTTGTCCATGGCTTCGCGCCATTTTTCCTTATGCTCCCCCCCCAGAGCCTGCTGAACTGTCGCAGGCTCCTTAGGAATGTTGACGCCGTGGACCGCGGTGACGAGACCAAGGATTTGGAGTCCGCTCTGTGTGTAGCGGGGGAGTGTGGTGTCCTCGGGATAGACTGCTTCGTCTCCAGTTTCTGGATCGGGTGCGAAGTTGGGCCCTATGCGTTCTGCTTCGTTGGTGTTGTCTCCAGTTTCGGC